CATTGAATGGTCCTTGCCCTTGTCCTTTCTACCATTCAGATCTCATTGCAGTGCTGTCAGGGAGGCCTTCCAAACCTGGTCAGGTCCCCCACCTTGGCACCTACCATGCTCTCACAGTTCCAGGTTCCAACGAAAGCAAAACCCCACGAAGGCAGGACCACTGTCTGTGTTTGCTCAATAAACAATGGCTGAACTAATGGCCAAATGACAAGGGGAAAAGAGGAAACGGGGAAGCAAGAGTCCTTGAGGTTCGACAGGGAAGGGGGACAGTCTCTTCTCAGGCCACATGCAGCTAGGATCTCCTGCACGTCATTTATGGGTGTCACTGAGTGTGCCCCAAGAGCCAGGCCTCAGACTGGGCAGTGCACATCCAGGCGCCTCACTCACTGGGCACGCACCCCTGGCACCCAAAGCCCCAGTGATTCCAACCACAAGCACATACTGGGCACCCTGCCGCCAGGCCCCAAGTGGGCTGGAGGTGTTAACAAGACCAACAAGGAACCAAGGTAATTGCAATTGCACTAGGACGACCTAAATACGAATGACTGAGGGCACCTCGCCCAGCCAGTCAGGGTGGGAAGGCTGCCTGGAAGAAGGTGCAGTCTGAAAGGTGGAGAGAGACTGGCCAGAGGACAGGGATGGGGCACAGGGAAGAGCATGAGCAAAACCCCAGAGCTGACAGCGCGTTCCAGGAACTGCGGGTCCTGGTTAGCGCCGACACTGGAAGAAGAGGCAGACACAGAGATCCCAGAGGCCAGGGGCCCCGCCCGTGAGCTCCGCTGCAGAGACTGGACTTTATCCTGAGGAAAACAGGAATCCCCGGAGGAGTCCTGGGCCGGGGTTAGGGGCTGTGGGTGTTCCTTGAACTGGAGCGGAGTCCGAGCAGCCAGCAAAGGGGCAGAGGCGTCTGGGAGACGTTTAAGAAGCAGGGTTTGGCTATGGGCTGCAGCGGTGGCGGCCCGGGTGATGGGCTGGGGTGGGGGGCCGGTTCCGAGGCAGGGGCAGAGTCCGCGCCTCGGACTGCGTACTCCAGGAAGCAGCGGGCCACAACCCACGAGAGTGGGCGTTCAACCCACCACGTCGGACGGCTGGAGGGGGGAAAGAGGTGGGGGCCGCGTCACCGGAGAGTGAGCGCCTACCCCAGGTTGGAAGGGGGACAGGGATAGGCCGGAATTGGGGGCACTGGCCCGCGGTCCTCGCCACTGGTCCAGGGTCCCTCCGGCCAGCGCCGTGGCCGCCCCGGGAGTGTGGGGTGTTGGGGTCGTCCGACCCGGCTGCCCCGGCCTCGCGGCCGGGCCCGGCTCCCCAAACGGCCAGGCGCGGCACCGAGGCTGCCCCACGCCGTCGCGCCCGCTCCAGTTCAGCACTCACCGCTGCGGCCCGCGCACCCCAGTCCTGGGGCCGCACTCCATAGTTCCCGGCCGGCCGTCAGCCCGTGCGTCCGCCGTCCCTCAGCGCCACTGCCCGGCCTTCTGCACCGCCGCCGCCGCCGCTCCCCCGCGGGCGGAAGTCAGTCTCGCTCTCGGCACCGCCCCGGAAGTGACGCGATCCCGCGCAGAGGCTAGGGGAGCTCTGGGTTCTAGCTTTGGTGCTCAGGAATCGAGTACCGTCATCATTCATCCCTTCTTTTACTGACTTCAGGGTCGGGACTAAGGGGAAGCGAATTTAGCAAGGTTGCGGAAATGCAGGGTCCGATTTTGCTTTTATTTAAAATCATGATATTTTGGCCATGATCGTTTTGGCTCAGCTGCTTGAGCGTCGTCCAGCGAAGCGGGTTCAATTCCCAGTCAGGGCACACGCTGGGAAGGGACTCATGGGAGACGCAACCAATCTCTCATAGATGTTTCTCATCATGTGTTTGTCCTTTCCTTCCCCTCTCTCTAAAAATATTTTCTAAAAAGTCATGGATTTTGTTCCTCCTGGGTCCTTTTGCACATTTCATCTTTTTAAGTATTGCATGAAAATACTATGAATTCTGGTAGCTGAGTTTTTCGGCGTTCCTTAAATTTTGTGCCTAAGGCAAGTGCCTCGCACTCTTTACCCCAGTCCTTCCCAGCTCTGCTCACGCTACAGGGAGAGGATAAGGGCTAGGAACAAAATGGGGGGTATGGCTAAAGATGACAGATGGCCAAGCCGTCTTCTCTTTCTGAGGGGATAACAGTGACAGCCAGGAAGGCTGCATAGGGCCCAGCTTGAGGCAAGACTGTGAATTAGTGGGGCAGTCTCGCCCTTCCAGGTCTCCTGCCTCTATGCCTTTCCCCCTGCCTGCACCCCTTTCCCAGCTCAAAATGTCCCATCCTCAGCAGGCAGTCCCCAACCCACTCTCACCCCTGCTACTTCCCAAGGACTCTAATTCTTAGCTATATTTACGGAGATAAGCCTGAGGCTCTGGGCTTCCGAGCCAGACCTCCTCCAGGGCCCCATTCTTCCAATCAGCTGCCTGAGAGGACTCAGGCTCAGGAGTAGATACTGCCCAGGGCTGATTTCCTCTGTTCCCCAGCTCTGGCCCCCTGACCTGGGCTAAGCCACCACACTGGCCTTGCCAGGTTCATTCCAACCTCAAGGCTTTTGCATAAGCTGCACCTCCTGCCCGGAGTGCCCTGTTCCCAAATAGCCACATGACTGATTTTTCATCTTCAGGCATGCTCTCAGATGTCACCTCTTCAGAGAACCCTCCCTGGCCACCACCCCCAGCCAAAGTCCTTACTATACACACCTTCATCCCATCACACTATTTCTTACATCATTTTATTGAGCTGTTTCCTTGTTTATCATCTGTCTTCCCCATATTTTATTCGCTTCCCAGGGCAGGGACCCAGGCTTTTGTCCATCATGTTCCCAGCTGTCACTCAGGCTGTCTGATGAACTGAAGGATGTGTAAAAAATGTAATAAAAATAATTCCCAACCCAGAAGATGGCTTCTGTGAGGGTCGGGGGAGGCTCACTGAGCCTTTGAGTGCCACCAAGCACAGACCTCAGGCCAACCCTCACTCTCTGGTTGACTTGAGACACACAATCTATTTGGAAAATAATTTGGCCACAGGAATCAATAATCATAAAAGCACTCCTACCAGGGGGCCATGAATTCCGGCCCCTAGCTCTCCAATATGGAACCACTAACACCACATGGGTACTTATTAAAGTTAAATGAATTGATTAAATGTATTTATTGATTTATTGATTAAAAATCAATAAAATTTTCCCTGACTGGTGTGACTCAGTGGAATGATCACCAGCCTGTGAACTAAAGGGTTGCTGGTTTGATTCTGAGCCAGGGCACATACCTGGGTTTTGTGCCAGGCCCCCAGTAGGGGCTGCACAAGAGGCAACCACATATTGATATTTCTCTCCCTCTCTTTCTGCTTCCCTTCCTTTTTCTCTAAAAATAAATAAATAAAATATTAAATAAAATTGATAAAAAGTGAATAAAAAATTTAATTCAGTTCTTCAGTTACAATGGTCTCAAGTGCTCAAGAGCCACATGGAACTGGTGGCTCCCATATTGAATGGCATAGATGGAGAACATGTCCATCAACTGGAAAGTCCCCGAAGCACCAGTCTACACTGTGAATTCCACCAAGAAAGGCATCTGTGTCTGTTTTTTCCCTGTTGCATCCCTAGTGCCCAACTCAGGACTTAGCATTCAGTAAATGTTCAATAAATGTTGATGGAAGAAGAGAAGGAAGGGAGGGAGGAATTCTCCTTCTAAAGATCTAAGTAAGCAATATGAAGCACAGCAGCCCTGGCTGGTGCAGCTCAGTGGATTGAGTGCCAGCTTGCAAACCAAAGGGTCACAGGTGTGATTCCCAGTCAAGGCACATGCCTGGGTTATGGGCCAGGTCCCCAATAAGGGGCACATGAGAGACAACCACACATTGATGTTTCTCTCTCTTTCTCCTTCTCCCTCTCTCTCTCTTTCTAAAATAAATAAATAAAATCTTAAAAAAAATAAACACCATGGAGACGGTCACTTTTTCTGCCTTGGCCCATCTGTGATACTCTCAAGAAATCCCCAGGGCTAACCCACTGCTTGCATACTCAGTCCTCTCTTGTTGGACAAAGAGATTGAGTCCCTCTCTGGCCAGAACAGAAATAGAGTGTGAGATTTTCATCCTGAGGGCAGGGAACTTTGGGTGGGGGAGGAGGCACTGAGGAAAACATGATTCCTGGAAGAAGAGGCTTCTAATGAGAAGGTCCACCCAGCTGCATCCAGGAAACGAAGCAGTCCTAGGTTCCTCCTGACTCCGCCCGGAGAAAAACACACCACGATGGGAACAGGAGTGATGTGGGAGGATGAGAAGGTGGGTGAGTTTTTCTCTTCTTCACACTCTGACATCTTCTGAGTTTGTTCTGGTTTTTCTTGGCAAAGGATGTGTTGCACTGTAATGATCAGGCAGAAGCTGAAATAAAAGCTAGATGGCTAAAAGAAGACTAGCTATTAAAAAAAAATTGTGCTTATGCTTCTTGGTAGGTGCCCAAAAGAATTAAAAGCAGAGCCTCAAACAGGGACTTGTACTTGATTGTTTGTAGCAGCATGATTCACAATAGCCATGGATGGATGAATGGATAAACAAAACCTGGTCCGTCCACACAGTGGAATAGTATTTAGACCTAAAAAGGACAGGCACATTCTGACACCTGTGACAACATGGACGAACTTTTTTAAAGCATTTTAAAAATATGTTTCATTTATTAATTTGAGAGAGAGAGAGACATCGATTTGTTGTTTCACTTATTGATGCATTCAAGGGTTGATTCTTGTGTGTCCCTAACCGGGAATCAAACTGGCAACCTTCAGGGTGATACTCTAACCACCTGAGCTATCTGGCCAGGGATATCTTAGGTGCATCAATCTTGAGGACATTAGGCTGCGTGATATAAGCCAGACACAGAAGGACAAGTACTGTGTAATTCTGCTTGTCGGAGGTCCCTAAAAGAGTCAAATCCACAGAGACAGAAAGTGGATGGTCAGAGCCAGGGGATGGGGATTTAACAGTGTTTAATAGGGATGAAGTTTCAGATTGGGAAAACTCTGTATATGAGAAAGTTCTGGATATGAGGAAGTTCTGGAAATGGATGGGGGGAATAGTTGCACACCTTGTGAGTGTACTTAATGCCACCACGTTGTACCCTTAAAATGATTAAGATGGTAAGTTTCATTTTTAAATGTTTATTTATTTTTTAAAGACTTTATATATTTATCTTTTAGACAGAGGAGGCGGGACAGAGAAAGAGGAAAGAAATATCATTGTGTGGTTACCTCTTGCATGCCCTGTACTGGGGACCAGGCCCGCATTCCAGGTATGTGCCCTGACTGGGAATTGAACCAGCAGCACTTTGGTTCGAAGTCCAGTGCTCAACCCACTGAGCCACACCAGTAGCCAGGGCATAAATGTTTCTTTACTGATTTGAGAAGGAGAGAGGAAAGGGGTGGGGAGAGAGAGAGAGACATCAATTTGTTGTTCCACTTATTTATGTATTCATTGGTTGATTTTTTAATGTGCTCTGACTGGGGATCAAACCCACAAACTTGTTGTATCAGGATGATGCTTTAACAAACTGAACTGCCCAGCCATGGCAAGGTGGTAAATTTTATATTATGTATATTTCATCATAATAAAGTAAATAAAATTCATAAACCCATGAGGTCGGGGGAGAACCCCAGGTGCTTGGAGAAGTGACAGCTTCTTGGGCTGAGACATGTGCAGTCACCCAGGGCTTTGACCTCAGAAGGGTCCCACCCATGACTTCCTGCCCTGTGGCTGCTGTCTTGAAATTCCTAATAATTTTTAAACAAGGGGTCCTGTATTTTCATTTCAAACTGGAATCTGCAAATTATGTGGCCTGTCTTGGTTTGGGGAAAGGACGGAGAGGCCCAGCCCAAGGTCATGGTCTGGGACCCTGGGGCTGGTAGAGAAGCACCCTAACATGTAAGTTGTCTGCCCCACCCCAAGGGGAGAGAGTGAGACCTAGTCAGGAAGTGGGCTCCTGACACAGCCAGGAAGGAAGTGTGTGGGCTCCTAAAATAGCAGCAGTTGCTAGCTGATTGGGTAAGGGGTGTGGATGGGAGGTTGGACAGGAGTGAGCCAGCCCCGGGAGGCATGGGGGCTTTCCTAAAGAATCCCCTTCCCCAAACTAGGCCCTCTTCCAACTACACAGCCAAAAGTAATGTTTAAAAATTAAATTATAATTTACAGACCATATGTGCACAAATCTTATTTGCGCAACTTAATTAAACTGCACGCATACGGGTAAAACCGTGGGTGCAACAATAGAAAGTCCAGTGATTCCGAGGGCTGGGGGGAAGGATGAATACGCAGAGCACAAAAGATTTTTAGGGCAGTGAAAATGCTCTGCCTGATACCATAATGATGGACACAGGTCATTATACATTTGTCCAAACCCATAGAACATACAACACTAAGAGTGAACCCCCCCCATGTAAACTGTGGGTGTTAGATGACAATGATGTGTCAGCGTAGGAACATCCTTGAAACAAATGTCCCCCTCTGGTTGGGGAACGTTGATAATGGGAGAGGCTGTGCATGTGTTGGAGCAGGGATATATGGGAAATCTCTATAGCTTCCTCTTGATTTGCTGTGAACTTAAAACTGCTAAAAAATGTCATTTAAACACACACACATATGTATATACAAGCCTCTGGATTGTAATCCACTCCCAACCCCCAGCCTCATGCCAGAGGCTCCCTCCTATGCTGTCCTTGTCCCGTCCCTCCAGCGGTTCTTACTAGCTGACTTCTATTAGTGTTGATTCATTCATTCATTAAAAAAGTTTTTTTTTTACTTTCTGTAAATAAAATCATACAGTGTACTCACTTCTGTTGGCTACTTTCACTCCACATTGGGTGCATGTGTGTAGCAGGCTTTCGTCTTTTTCATTGCTGCATTGTATTCCATTGTATTACTGTACCACTTTTCCTGCTGCATTCTCCTGCAGATGGACAATTGGGTTGTTTACAGTTTGGGGCTATTATGGACAAAGTTGCTGTGAACATTCATAAATTTTTTACTGGGCACAAATATTTAATTGGGTGATGTATTAGTTTGCTGGGGCTGGCATAACACAATTGGATAGGAGGGGCTTAAACAACAATCCTTGGTTTTCTTCTAGTGCTAGAAGGTGGAAGTTTGAGATTAAGGTTTCAGCAGGGCTGGTTCTTCCAGAGTTCTCTCTCCTTGGCATGTAGATAGCCATCTTCTCCCTGTGTTTCACATGGTCTTCCTTCTATATAAGCCTATATTCTAATCCCCTCTTCTTTTTTAGAAAATATATTTTATTTATTTATTTTTAGAGCAGGGGAAGGGAGGGAGAAAGAAATGGAGGGACGGGCCTGTGAACCAGACGATCGCAGTTCGATTCCCAGTCAGGGCACATGCCGGGGTTGCAGACCAGTTCCCTGTAGGCCAGTTCCCAGCAGGGGATGCACGAAAGGCAACCATACATTGATGTTTCTCTCCCTCTCTCCTTCCCTTCCCCTCTAAAGATAAATAAATAAAATATTTTAAAAAATAAAAATAAAAAGAGACCAAATATCTGGTAATGTAAAGTTTTGCTGGATGACAGTCATTAAAAAAATTTAAAAAATTAAAAAAATAAAAATAAATGGAAGGAAACATCAATATGTGGTTGCTTCTTACGTGCCCCCTACTGGAAACCTGACCCACAACCCAAGCATGTGCCCCGCTGGGAATTGAACCAGCGACCCTTTGCTTCACAGGCTGGTGCTCAATCAAGTGAGCTACACCAGCCAGGGTGATCTCCTTTTGTTACAAGGACACTGGTCATGTTGGATTAAGACCCAAAGCAATGATTTTATTTTATCTTAATCTCTGCTTTTAAAGACTTCGTCTTCCAACACAGTTCACATCCTGAGGTCCTAGCAGTTAGGGCTTCAGTGTATGACTTGTGGAGGACACAGCCCAGGACACAGCCCTTGTCCTTTCAGGAGCTGATTGGCTGGGTCATAGAATATACATGAGTTTAGCTTTAGTGGAAACTGCCAAAAGGTTTCCCAAGTGGCTGAGCTCTCTGGCTTCACTCCTCCATGTGCCCCAATGCTCCCCAAAATTTACCCTGTGGGATCTTCCTGAGTTGCATATGCCCAGCCAGGGCCTGCCTCAGGACCTTTGCATAGGCTGTTCCCTCTGCCTGGAACACTCTTCCCTCAGAAAACCTTTCACCACTCGGGGCTCAGGGAAAGTGTCACCTCTGCAGAGATGTCTTCCTTGATCACTCCTTTTACCATAGCCACTCTGTCATCATGCATTCCACAGGAAAGGACCTCATCTTTATTTTATTTTACTTGATGCATAGCAAGCATGCAGTAATGATCATCTCCTCAACATCCAAGCCATCAGGGAAATGCTAACCAAAATCACGGTGCATGGTGCTTCATCCCCGCTAGAGGCTGCACTCAAAAAGATAGGTTATAAGAAGCATTGGGGAGGATGTGGAGACCTCTAAACCCTCACATGAAGTAAGGGTAGTGTAAGGGGCAGCTTCTTTTGGAAACCGTATAGCACCTTCTCGAAAGGTTAAACCCAGAGTCACCATCTGGTACAAGACCCTTGCCGAAGGTCCTGAGCTATGGTTAGCATGTCTGTTTGGCTCTAGGACAGGATCTCTCTCCCTTGGCACTAAGGCTGGATGATTCATGGCTGTGGGGCCATCCTGGGAACTGTGGAGGCTTGAGCAGCATCCTTGGAACCCATCCCCTCAATGCCAGGAGCACTCCCAGTCATGATGACCACAGATGTCCCCAGATGTCCCCAGACATTGTAAGTGTGAGGGAACAAAGTCACTGCTCCCCCCAGGGCCTGGTCCTCAAACTTGAGCATGCACTGGAATCTCCTGAGGGCCAGATCAAGCCCACAAGTTTCTGATTCAGTATGTTTGGGGTGAGGCCCAAGAACTTACATTTCTTTTTTTTTTTTTTTTTATTATTTATTTATCTTTAGAGGGGAAGTGGGGGAAGGAGAGAGGGAGAGAAACCAAATGGTCCTTTCGTGCATCCCCCTGCTGGGAACTGGCCTGCAGGGAACCGGCCTGCAACCCAGGCATGTACCCTGACTGGGAATCGAACCGCGATCATGTGGTTCGCAGGCCCGCGCTCAATCCACTGAGCTACACCAGCCAGGGCAAAGAACTTACATTTCTAAAGGACCCCAGATGCTGCTGAAGCCGGTTTGGATCCCCACTGCTGATGCACCGCCCCTGCCACGCAGGACCTGCAGCCTGGCTCTCGTCTCTCTGACTCTGAGGGGACAGGGGCAGTGGCTGTGGCTGTTTTGGGAAGCATTCAACGACAGCTGCCTCTCCCGCCTTCAGCCGAGAATTTGTCCATTCCGCCTTTTGCCGGTAGGTGGCAGCAGTGACTGCTTGATATTTGGAGGGTACAAGAAGAAGTGGCAGGCCGTCTGCGGAGCGAGGGATGCCTGGGCAATCCCATTTGTCTTACCAAAATAATAACGACAATAATAATAACAACAGCATTGTCTGTTCAGATGCACTGAGTGCTAACTCTGGGCCAGGCAGTGTGGGGGTCCGCAGTGAACAAAATTTCTAGCCCTCGTAGAGCAGACATTCTACATATATGTCACCAAATAATAATAAGTAGTGGAAAGACAATAAAATAAAGAGTGGGCCAGGAAAGGACAGGACAACTGGAGATGGGGGCTCCCCTCCCACCCCCACTTCAGTCCCACGTTGCCAGTGGCCAGGGCTTTAGGGAGAATTTGTTGTGAAACTCTGTGCCTGGTGGGGTGCACCTCTAGCCCCCTGACCTGTGAAGGCTGTGGCACTTACACTGTCCTATAGACTTGTTGTAAGGATTAAATGAAATGATGGAAAGTGTTTAGTACCAAAATCGTATCTGGTTCCAAATAAGTACTCAGTAAATATTAAGCATTATTAATTAGTAATAATAACTATTTTGACATCAATAATGACATTATTGCATTGTATCATTACATCATTAGTGTCAGCCTCTAAAACCTGCTTGGTTTTAGCAGAGAACCAGCTCGGTCATCATTGTGTTCAAACTAAAAGTTAAAGGGCTGTGAGCAAAGAGGCTAATCTTATTTATTTTTAGAGAGAGGAAGGGAATGAGAAAGAGGGAAACATCAGTGTGTGGTTGCCTCTCATACATACCCACTGGGGACCTGGCCTGCAACCCAGGCATGTGCCCTGATTGGGAATCGAAACAGCAACCCTGTGGTTTGCAGGCCTGCACTCAATCCACTGAGCTACACCAACCAGGGCAAGAGGTTGGATTTTTAAATTTGGTGTCACTTGAGTTTGCTTTTTGGAAACTGATGTTTTCAGGCCAAGGGAAGTGACCAATGGTTGGTGCCTGGTGAATTCCGCGTGTGTGTGCGCGCACACGTGTGTGTGATGGGGTTCTGGAGCCCTCTAAGAATCTGGGCAGGTAGGCAGAAATTCATTTATCAAGAGATTGGCTGGGGGCAGCACAGTGTTCTATAACCTCCAGGAAACAGGAGATGGGACTGTTCCCATCCTCTTCAAGGTCCAGCAGGCATTGATTTGCCTTGCCGGGCATTTAAAGGAAGTCCCCTCACCTCACCCCTTTTCAGGAAGGAGTTTGACCTGAGGATCACCACACAAGTGAGAAACACCTGAGGTCCCCATGGCTGCCCCTTGCAACAACCTCAGAAAGTCAGCAGGATGATAAACTGGGTAAACACAAGCCACACATCTTGGGAAGAATGCATAGCTCAGGGAGGCTTGTAGGGAAGCCCCTCACCTCCCACGGACTCATTTGTTGACATCCTTGCAGATGTGGACAAGCTTATGGTCACCCAGCCGACCAGCAGCTGACCCAGGCTTCGGACTGACTCCAGGGCACTTTCTGCTGGCATTAAGCTTACAGTGAGGGAACCAATTCCATGTTTGTTTGGTTTTTTCCCAGCCTTTTGGTGTTGGACACGAACCTGTTGCCATGAGAGTCATGTTATGTGAGAAAGGTGCTGGAGGATGAACATCAAAACAAAAGGGACTTTATCAATTGAAGCTCATGGTCTATAAAGAACTGAAATCATGACTCAAATTAGTTTAAGTCAAAAAGAAAAAACGACCCCCACACACAGGAAAGCTCAAAGGTGACCTGATTCAGGCATGGCTGGATCCAGGTTCTTCAAAAACCTTGTCAAAGCATGGACTGCTTTTTCTCTCTGGGATCTGCTCTCTTCTGTTTCAGTTTCATTCACAGACAATTTCCACTGTTGGGTGGCAAAAATGATTCCCAGTACCCCCAGGCTTACACCCTACTCTGCTTGTATTTCAAAGCCCCAGAGGCGATTCTCCTTGGTCTCACTTGAGTCACATGTCTACTTCTGAACCAGTCACTGTGGCCAGGGGGCGGAAAATGTTCTAATTGATGGGGCTGAGTTGGCCGTGGGGTCCTGGTACTTGAACTGAGAGTGGAGGATGGACAATCACACAAAAACTGGGATGCCAGGTCCAGAAGGGTAGCTGAGTGGGCAGAATGCAGATGCGGGGTTTCCACTGTAGGGATGTTAGTCCATCCATTTCCTTTTCCACCCAGTCTGAGTCCTGGGAACATAAGCTCCGGTGGTTCCCTCACCTCTTCCTGATCAGGGGCCAATGCTGCATAGTATTCCACTGTGTGGTGAACCAGACTTTGTGTATTCACTCATCTGTTTAGGAATATTTCCGTTTTTCCGCCTTTTGGCTATTGTGGAGAATGCTGCTGTGAACATGGGCGTACAAATATCTGTGAGTGATTGCTTTCAATTCTCTTGTGCACACACACTGTACTCAGTGTGGAACTGTTGGGTCACAGAGTAATTGTGTTTAACTTTTTGAAGAACCACCAAACTGTTTGCAAAGGCAGCTGCACAATTTTACATCCCTCTCTGTATATCTTTTTGCTTTTTTTAAAAGATTTTATTTATTTATCTTTAGAGGGGAAGGGAAGGAGAGAGGGAGAGAAATATCAATGTATGGTTGCCTCTCATGCGTCTCCTGCTGGGAACTGGCCTGCAACCCAGGCATGTGCCCTGACTGGGAATCGAACCACAATCCTTTGGTTTGCAGGCCCGTGTTCAATCCACTGAGCTACACCAGCCAGGTCTTTTTGCTTTTTGAGAAATTAAAAACTGGCAGAAAATAACATTGATGGAATTCGTTTGGGGAGAGGGGGGTAATTAATTTTCTATATGCAGAAAATTTAGGCATTTAAAGAAGTGTTATTTATTTACTTTTAGAGAGAGGAGAAAGAAGGGAGAAAGAGAGGGAGAGAAACATCAATGTGAGAGAGAAACATTGTACCTTCCCTGGCCAGGGATCGAACCCACAACCCAGTCATGTGCCCTGACTGGGGAATCCAACCAGCAGCCCTTTGCTTTGTGGATCAAAGCTCAACCAACTGAGCCACACCTGTCAGGGCCAGGCATTGTTTTTAATGACATGCCAATCAGAGATCACAGTCAAAAAAATTTTTTTTTACTATATCAGCAAACAGGGGTCCTTTTAGACCTGGATTTTTCTCTTTTCTTAGCAATAGGGTTAAACCAGGGTTTTCCAGCCTCTGCACTGTGGGCATTTGGGGCCGATTCTGTTTGTGGCGAGCGTCCCGTGTACTGTATGGTGTTGAATGGCATTGAGGTTTTGATGCCATTTGATGCCATGCACACTTCCCAGTCATGACAACCACAAATGTCCCCAGACACATCGCCCAGTGCCTTTGGGGTGGGGTGGGACAACTGCCCCTAGTTGAAAATCGCTGGTTTAAACCTGTTTAACTCGAATCAATACCTGGATTCGCTCATAAAATGAAAATGGCTTGTCCAGGAGAGTCAAAGAGGTCCCCTTCACCCACTATACAGACGGGAAAACTGAAGCCATGAGTTGACCAAAGACCCAGACCAGAATTGGAATCTGATTACATCCAGTGGGGCAGCTCCTGGAGAACTACGTGGCAACAGCAAACTGGGCTCGATGAGTGACTGCAGTGGGTGTCATGTGCTCCTCTGACTCAGTGCCCTACTCTGCTGATTTCCCAAAAGGCCAACTTTTCCCCCGCTCGCTTGGGTCTTGAACCCACAATTCAGCGCAGACCTGCGCTCCTGTGGATCGCGGGACTAGAGGCCAGGATCCGGATAAGTGCGGGCCTGGGGGAGCAGAGTTGGCCAGGGGGAGCAGAGTTGGCCAGGGGTAGCCGTGTGGGGATTGTAGTCCGGACCCCGCCTCTCTCTGGCACCGCCCCCTCCCCAGGAACTACGCTCCCATCGTGCTCTGCGGTCCAGGCGGAGGCTGAGCGAGCGGGAGGGCTGGTTGCTAAGCCTTGGGAAAGGGAAACGCTTACGCCTTTCTCCTCAGGTAAGCGCGCGGCCTCCGTGTCTCGGGCTCTCTCGTCCCAGGCTTCCGGGGTGGGCGGGCTGGGGAGGCCACGTGGGTCTCGGCTTCGGGTGGTGCTAACCGCGCAGGGGGCGAAAGGGCAGCCTGGCCTGGCTGGCACGCACCTCGGGCAGTCGCCGTCGCGTCGCGTGTGCGCATGCGCCTGGGTCGTCTCTGCGCCCATCGCCTTTTTGCGCGTGCGTGCGCCCCTGAGGCGCGGCCTTGAGACCCCGTGCGTCCAGCGGCTTCGGTCGCACCCTGCCCTCGGGTCATCAGGACCCCCTGCTTCCGGGCTGGTTGACCCTCTTCCTCCTCGTCTTAGGCAGAGGTCCGTAATCTTTCCTGTGCCCTGAACATTGATGATTCTCTTTCTGATACTTATGGGAGGTGTGAGTTTTCAAGGCCCTTTGTAAAAAAAAGTCCTCACCCAACGGTATGTTTATTGATTTGAGAGAGAAACATAAATGTGAGGAAAAAAACAAGCCTGTCCCTGCCCTCCCATAGGTGCCCCAACGGGTATGGAACCTACAACCTAAGTATATGCCTTGGCCTGGTATCGGACCTGTATCTTTTGGTGTATGGAGGATGCTCCAACCAAGCCACCTGGCCAGTGCTCAAGGCTTTTTCTGATCTCAACCCGAATAAGGGGCTCTCTCCCACACCCCACAAGCCCAAGATTCTTGGACTTTCATGCACAGAAGGCCCATTTATAGGGTTCCACATCTAGCAAATGAACATTCAGGATACCCAGTTGAGAGCGAATTCCACAAACAATGAATAACTTTTTTTTTTTTTATAACTATGTCCCAAGATTGCATGGGCCATAGATACACTAAAAAATTCCACCTCGTCAGGAATTGGAATTTAACAGGGTGTCCTATATGTTATCTGGCAACCACACTCCATGTGGGAGCTTGTTAGAAATGCAGATTGTAGAGTCCTGGCCGGTATAGCTCAGTGGATTGAGCACAGGCCTGCGAACCAAAAGGTCACCAGTTCGATTCCCAGTCAGGGCAGATGTCTGGGTTGCTGGCCAGGTCCCCAATTGGGGGCATGGGAGGGGCATCCACACATTGATGTTTCTCTCCCTCTCTTCCTCCTTCCTTTCCCCTCTGTCTGAAGAATAAATCTTTTTAAAAATGCAGATGTGGCCCCCTCCCCTTTGTGGGGCCAGGTCCTAGAAAATGCATTTAAAACTGTGGGTGCATCTGAGGCTTCAACATTGGTTATTCCTTCTGCTCAGGTCTCCCTACTGGGCTTGCTTGCTTTCCAGGCCCTGCTGTGGGTCACCGCCTCTGAAGAGGCAAATTTTCTCACTTCGTGCCCCTGCGTGCCTGCACGGTGTGATGGATTCCCTCTCACAGAGGGGGATGCTGCAGTGGGGGTGAGGACAGGGCCAGGGCCAGGCTCCGGCCTTCCTAATCCATGGATAAAATAAGTCCTGCTTGAGGTTTATATTGTTGCCTGCAGAGCCTGACTCAACTCACTAAGTAAGCACCATTTCCAGTGCCCCTCCCAGAGCCAGAGTCCACTCCTGCTGGGACCCCAGTCCCACTTCCCTCCCCCTCAACCTCCCAGAATGCTGCTGCCCAGTATCTGCAGCAGTTCCAGCACACACCTACTTTCCAGTTCCATGCCATTGGAGGGCAGTATTAAGCTGCTGAGAGGACTTGCAATTGGGGGTCTGTCTGTCTGGTCCATCAGACCCTCCAGGGGCTGCCAGTGCAGTTGATCCTCTGGCCCTAGACAGTTGGTGCCCAGGGCAGAGGCCCGCCGCCACCATAAATATAACTAGGTCATCTGAGGAGGCTCTGGCTGCCCCCTGGAGACCAGAGCACTGGTGTTTTTAGAAGACAGCTAAAGGTGCAGGCAGAGGAGATGGGCACACCCAGGGAAGGGACTGAGCTAGGCAGGACCATGGAGTGCTGGGCAGGGTGGGGGTGGGGTGGATGTGTGGGTCACGGGGCAGTTGGGGCACCTGGAGCTTGGTGCTTCAAGAACAGGAAGAGGAACCCCAGAGCAGCAACCGTCTCCCACCATGCTTCAATCCCTGGATGTGTTTAAGCAGAAATGTTTGTGCATGTTCAGTTCATATGTGGACTGGCGCTCCCTGTGGGGTTTTTGGGGTTGTGGGCTTGGGTGGGTCACCCTCTGTGGAACCTGTTTATTTCTCATCTGTGAAGTGGGCTCAGGACCCCTGTTTTACAGAGGAGCTCGAAATGCAGAGTCAGTTTGCTGGTGAGCACCAGCCACATGCCTTGGTCAAGGCCCTCCACCTCAGGGAGCCTGGTCTTGTCCCATAGAAAGGGAGCAGTCCCAGGTTCTCCCTCCCAGGTTGCTGGGAGGGGTAGCGGAGCCCACTCCTGGAGGTGTGAGGACATGTGCTGTTATGGAAAGGCAGCTGTCATCTGAGGCAGGCCTTGTTTGGGGTCTGCTGACCTGGTGACTGCCAGATGTCCTTCCCCTCCTTGTTTTCTTTCACAGCAGCTTTACTGAGATGCAGTTCACACGTTTAAAGTGTATGTTTTAGTGGTTTTTAGTATAGTCATAGGATTGTGGATATGTCATCCCTGTTTAACTTCAAAACATCCTATCACGCCAAAAAGAAACCTGTCCCCATTAGCAGTCACCCCCACCCCTCTTTCCCAGTCCCTGTCAACCACTAACCCACTTTCTGTCTCTATGGATGTGCCTGCTCTGGACGTGTCACATACATGGAATCACATACCGTGTGGCCTTTGTATCTGGCTTCTCTCACTGAGCGCCATGTGCTCAAGGTCCTTGCACTCTATGGTGAGTGCCAGCGCTTTGCTCCTTTTCGTGGCTGAGTAGTACTCCAGTGTGGGCACGGACCACCTTGTATTTATCTATTATCTGTTGATGGACACAGATTTCCACCTTTTGGCTGTTGTGAATCCTGCTGCTGTGAGCATGCATGTATAGGTTTCTGTGTAGATGTGGGTTTTCCGTTTTTCTGGGCACATACCTAGGAGTGGAGGAGAGTTGCTAGGTCAGATAGTGACCATCCTGTGGTATTTATCCGTTCCCCTTAGAAGTTTGGCCAAGCCAGACGTGTCCCAAAGGCATCGCCTTTATTTGTCTCTTGTTTGTTCAGGCAGAGGTTGAACTCTGAGGAACAAGTAAAGCTGTGTCTGTCTTTTTTTGCAGATAGAGTTTTCATGGCCCAGGGCAGGCCATATGGGGCGTGGGGTCCTGGGCGTGGTACGTACTGGGAGCAGATTTAGAGTTGGCACTGTAGACTCTGCTGTGGGCCCCACACAGCACAGGCATTATGGACACATAAAGGGCACCCTTCACACGTTCCACTTCTCGTGGCTGCCATTGGCATCCTGGTTCACTGCATTTGTCACACTTGTCTTGTGAGCTAGGACACATCATGGAGGGTGAGGACCTCACATGCCCTGTGAAGGGCCTGGCCGATAAATAGATGGGGGCCCATGGGGCCAAGGAGTACGTGGCAGGGAACATCATGAGCAGGAAAAGCCCACAGTTGTAAAATGATTTCAGTGTTTCCTCTCCACAGGGGAGAGGCAGGAGAGGCTGGTCGACTCCAAGTACCTGGCTGGGCAGCGTGTTCTGGGCGGGCAGTGGCATCTGAGCTACTCTGGAATCTAGTTGAGTTGATCTGTGGTTTATCTCTAATGTTCTTCAAGGCAGCTCTGACCAATAGGAATAGAATATGAGGCACATATGTAAAGTCAAGTTTTTTAGAAGCCAAATTTTTAGAAAGTACAAACTAACAGTTGCAGTTAATTTTAATAATGTATTGAAGTTAAACCTAAAACATGAAGTGTTATCATTTCAGCATGTAGTCGATAAAAAAAAAGTAATGAGATAGTTTACATCCTTCCTTTCACATTAAGTCTCTGAGGTTCAGTGTGCATTTTTGCTCACTGCACATCTCAGATATAAAAGAGGAAAAGTCAATGGCGGGTTAAGCTCTGCAGACTGAGAGCCGGTAGGACTAAGTGAGAGCATGACCAGTGACACATTTCACTCAGGCCGGAGCTCTTGGACGAGGCCTCAGATTCGGCACACTCCTGGGACGGACTCCTCAGCTCACCCAGGCCTCCTGTGGCTGACAGATGATGCTCTGCTCCGATCTCTGTCTCCCACAGTCAAAGCCCTGCCAAGGATGGACCCCCTGGGTTCCATGGAGCAGTTTGAGGACAAGAAAGCTGGGAGCCCACACCCAGAGCCTGCTCCGTGGCAAGCCCTTCCTGTCCTGTCGGAGCAGCAGTCCAGGGATGTGGAGCTGGTGCTGGCCTATGCCGCGCCCATCCTTGACAAGCGCCAGACCTCGAGACTCCTCAAGGAAGTATCAGCCGTCCATCCGCTGCCTGCCCAGCCTCACCTCAAAAGGGTTCGGCCGAGCCGTGATGCCAGCCGTCCACACACGCTGGAGATACTGCTGTGCTTGGCGGGGCCAGCTATAGGCACACGATCTCTGGCTGAGCTCCTCCCCTGGCCAGCAGTGGACCCCCGTGGCCTGGGGCAGCCCTTCCTGGTGCCTGTGCCCGCCTGGCCGCCCCTGACCAGGGGCCAGTTTGAGGAGGCACGAGCCCACTGGCCCACATCCTTCCATGAGGACAAGCATGTGACCCGTGCCCTGGCTGGGCGGCTTTTTTCGGCACAGGAGCAGGCTGAAATGCAAGGCTACATGGAGCGGGCTGTGCAGGTGGCACAACAGGCAGCTGCCAGGGGCCTAAGGGCTGTGGGGGCTGTGGTGGTGGACCCAGCCTCAGGACGGGTGCTGGCCACAGGCCATGACTGCAGCAGTGTGACCAGCCCCCTGCTGCATGCCACCATGGTGTGCATTGACTTGGTGGCCCAGGGCCAGGGTCAAGGTACCTATGACCTCAGGCCTCACCCCGCCTGCTCATTCTCCCCAGCTGTTGCCCCTCTGGGTGTCCAGACCATCTCTGTACGCAAGATGGATGAAGACTTGGGCATGGAGGAGGATGGCCTCCCCTACGTGTGCACTGGCTACGACCTCTACATTACCCGCGAGCCCTGTGCCATGTGTGCCATGGCCCTGGTGCACTCCCGTGTGCAGCGTGTCTTCTACGGGGCACCCTCCCCCGACGGTGCCTTGGGCACCCGTTTCCGCATCCACGCGCAGCCTGACCTCAACCACCGTTTCCAGGTGTTCCACGGCGTGCTGGGGGCCCAGTGCTGCCGGCTGGACCCCGACACGTAGGCCCCGTGCTCGCTGGCTCCAGACTGTCCTCTGCTCTGCCAGCCTCAGCTTCCTCTCAGACCTGTGTGGGCCTGGCTCCCTCACTGCCATCCAGGCTGGGCGCAATCCTATCTGTGGATTCAGGGACACGCCTCCTAGCCCTGGAGCCTGTTCCCGGTAGTGCATGGGGCTATATGTCTGCTAGGCCAAGGTTTTCTCTGCCCTGGAGCTTAATGGGGGTCTAGTCAGACCTTGTCACTGGGCACTCAGGCCTCCCTCCTTCGTCTGCCTTCACTCTGAGCCCACAGGTGCACTGGGGTTGTGTCCCCTTTGTCTCATCTGACTCGTGAAAATAAACAACCCCCAAACCAGGTTGGTGTCTGTTGACATTTATGGGCCACTTCCACAGAGGACCTTGATGTGCACAGGGGGAGGGAAGCTTCTGAATCCACTGTGAGCAGAGCCTTGCTCTAGTCCTGGCTCTGGAAGGGTGTGGCTGGCTAGGGTGTGTCTGGACTCAGTTGATGGAAAGGCTCCTTTGGGGTTGTCATTTCCCATCCTTCTCTGGTGACCAGAGGAGTCCCCAAAGACTGATTGCTACAGAGCAGCCAGCACTAGAACCAACTCTTGTGGGACTCCCAGCAGGCTGCTTGTCCATCCAGCAACCATGTACTATCTGACCACAAAGACACTGCAGGGATTCCAGAATATCCCTGCCCCAAGCCCCTGGGCCCCTGGGGTTGCTTCGAGGCTGTGGGGACAGGGCAGGCAGGGGCCTCTACCTGGGAGCCAACGCCCTGGACAGATATGGGTGGGGCGTGAGCCTGCTTGCCCTGGCTGGCAGGGAGAGCCAGCAAGGGCAGCACAGAGGGTCTCGGTGAGAACATCGATTAGCTGAGGGATGGGCCCTGGGAAACTCAGCATCACTGGAACCTTGGCCTGGATTGTGGGTGAGAAACGCATTCCCAGTGCCTGGCCCCAAGTATAACTCCTGGCCTCCTTTGGTGCGAAGTCTACCCTGGACCTCCACTTGGGTTGTGGTGGGGCCCTTGGCCCTGCACGGCTCGTAGTGGTGGAAACTACAGACCAGAGAGTCTGTGTGAACCCGGTCTTGGTGATTTGGAAGTTGGGCCCTGCAGCTCTAATGAGGCACTCAGAGCTATCTGTGGGTAAAGGGTGAGGGAGGATGAGGTGGCAGGAGGGCCGTGCAGGTGGTCACCGGGTTTCCAGGGATGGCCTGGCTTCAGGCTGTCCTGTGGATAGTAGTGGCCTGTGGCCTGACCTCCCGCCGTTGCAGGTGCTGCCCAGGGGGCTCTGGGGTGAGGTGATGGTTAGGGTCACACGTTAGGGGTGGCCTTTCAGGTAAGAGCCCAGACACCCCCGTGAATAGCCTGGAGGTTAGGACTCTTCACTGGGCTGCAGCTGGTGTTGGGGTCATCTGAGAGCCACAGGGTCCCCCTGACTATTGCTGTTTCCCTTCCAGGTGGCTGCAGGCTTCAGCCTCACCGGGTCGTCACAGCAGAAATGTCAGGTGAGTCTTTCCTGGGGGCCCCGGGGGTTTCTGTGTTTGTTCCCCTGGGAAGTGTCCCCAGGTGGCCAGACCCATTATGACCCCTGCAGGTATCCACCTCACGTTCCTCCTTCCACAGTGGCTGTCAGAGTCACCTCGCAGCACTGAGCAGGTGACAGGGAGGCACCTGGTTTCCACATAAGCTGTCAGCCAGAGTTCGGCCCAGCCGGGCCTTCTGCTGGGGGTCGTTTTTTTTTTTTAATATTTTATTTATCTTTAGATGAGAAGGGAAGGAGAGAGGGAGAGAAATATCAATGTATGGTTGCCTCTTGTGTGTCCCCTGCTGGGAACTGGCCTGCAACCCAGGCATGTGCCCTGACTGGGAATCGAACCGAGATCCTCTGGTTCTCAGGCCCGTGCTCAATCCACTGAGCTACACCAGCCAGGGCCTGGAAGTTGTTTTGTTGTTGACACCATGGGTGGACCCCAAGGTTCCTCTGGTTCTCAGGCCCGTGCTCAATCCACTGAGCTACACCAGCCAGGGCCTGGAAGTTGTTTTGTTGTTGACACCATGGGTGGACCCCAAGGTTTGGTCACCTGTGTTCATGCCCATACATGTCAGATGACCCCCTCATTTCCTCCTAGAGGCTGTGGTGAGCCCCCAGGGTGGCCTGCCTCACCCTGTGTGGAAATGGGCAGAGCGTACAAGTGAAGTTAGGTGGACTGTGGTTAGCCCACTGGTGGCAGATCTGGGATTTGAACCCAGATGCATGGGTTCCAAGTCAGTGCAGAACATCTCACCAAGAAAACAAGGTGTCAGGGCCCTCGAGATCCAGCTGGTGCTTTTCTGCCTCCTTCCTGTCATTGTGTGTGCTGATGGGACTGACTGCTGGAAGCATCACCCTGTTCTTGTGGGGACTGGACGTCTGTCAGGGGCGGGTACCAAGGGCCATGGGAACGACAGGACTTGGGGCTGGGTGGCTGGGGGGCACTGTTGTTGGGATGTGGGTTGCCTGGCCGAGGGTGTGGTCAGGGACCATAAGTGGGTTTGAGACCAGCTCTTCCCTGGAGCCCTGGGAGAGAGCATAGCCCTGAGATGCCTTGATCCCAGACCCCTGGCCTCCATATTATAAGAGGATAAATCTGTTTATTTAAATCTCTGGTATGTGGCTGTTTGTTACAGGATACTTATAAATTCCAAGTGCCAGAACCATCCTATCCAGCCTATTAATTTGTGAGTTTCCTGTGATGGCTCCAAGAAATCACCACAAATACAGTGATTTAAACAGGATTTGTCAGAAGTTCAACATGGGCCTCATGGGGCTAAACCCATGTGGGCAGGGCTGGTTGTTCTTGAGACTCCAGGGAGAACCATTCCAACCTTTTCCAGCTTCTAGAGGCGCCGCTTCTCTGGCTCATGGCCTCTTTCTTTAAGTTCACAGCCTGGAGCACAGCCTCTTCCATCTCTGACTCTGACTCTTTCCTTCCTCTTAAGAGGATCCTGTAAGGACACTGAGCCCTGCTGAGGAACCCAGGACCATCCCCATCCTAGGGGCTTTGACTTAAACCCATTTGCAAAGTCCCTCTGCCATGCAAGGCAACATGTGTACAGGTCCCAGACCAGGATAGGGACATATTTACCTCGCTACTCCAGCCTGGTTTAGTCCCATGGTGCTCTGTGTCCCCATAGAAAAGGAGAACAACTTCCCGCCACTGCCCAAGTTCATTCCTCTGAAGCCTTGTTTCTACCAGAACTTCTCCGATGAGATTCCCATTGAGCATCAGGTTCTAGTGAAGAGGATCTACCAGCTGTGGCTCTGTGAGTGGTGGGTCGGGCTGCGGGGGTGCGGGCGGCTCCCTGACCACTGCAGAGACCCAGGCCATGAAGCTGCTCTGTCCATGGGCTGGAAGAGCCTGGGGGTTTTGTAGTAAATCTTTCTGTTACAACTGAGTCCCAGAGGAGGCATGGTGTGGTGGTTGGGGCAGGTGGGGCTGGCCGGCTGGGCAGGAACCTCCGTCCCCTGAGACTTCTCTGGCCCTTGATCTTTGTGCAGTGGGGTAGAGGGTGTCCTGGTGCTTGTGGTGCTTGCATGCTAAACCCTAAACCCCGGTTCAGCCTCCTTGCCTCTCCTCCCCAGTCTACTGTGCCACACTAGGGGTCAACTTCGTCGCCTGCCTGGCCTGGTGGATTGGCGGTGGCTCAGGAGCCAACTTTGGCCTGGCCCTGGTCTGGCTGCTGGTCTTCTCTCCCTGTAGCTATGTGTGCTGGTTTCGGCCTGCCTACAAGGCCTTCCGGTAAGTGGGGCCCTGACCATGTCATTGTGGGGCCTTTGGGTATCTGTGCTGGCAGTGGGCTCAACACTGAGTAACCAGGATGCCCCCAACCACATGCGCCCATCTCTGTGCCAATTCTTGCACTTGGAACCTGTGCCTGCTCTGTTCCTGTCACCCTAGCCCAGGTGCTAGTATTCCTCCTTCTCTTGTCCAATTTGAATGGCAGCTTGTATCAGGACCTACACACTATTACCCAGTTAGCCACAGATGCCTATTGTGTTGTTTTTTAATCACTCATATTCCATACAACTCACCTAACATTGAAGCATTTTTAGAGTCCTCACAAGGTTGTATAACCACCACCTCCAATTCCAGAATATTCTCACTGCCCCAGAAGAACCCCTGTCCCCCTTAGCAGTCACCCCCGTCTACTGCCCAGCTCCTGGCACCCACAAAATGAATTCACTTTCAGTCTCTATGGCTTTGCCTGTTCTGGACATCTCACATACCTGGAGATGTGTCTGGCGCCTCTCACTGACCATGATGTGTCCAAGGTCCATCCATGTTGTAGTGAGTGTCAGTGCTTTGCTCCTCTTCATGGTTGAGTGATATTCCACTGTGTTTATGGACACGTGTTTATCTATTCACCAGCTGATAGACACTTAGGTTGTGTCTGCCTTTGGCTGTTATGAATCCTGCTGCTGTGAACATTTGCCCCCAGCCGACTGAGATGTGTCCTGTGTTTACCCCTACGTGGTCCCTGAATCCCATCCTTAGGAGGCAGGAGAAGGTCTCAGACTCCTTGCTGGGCAGGAACCCCTCAGTGCTGTATCTCCTCAGAGGGGAGATCAGGCCCCTCATGGTCAGAGTTCGGCATGAGCGTGTGTGCAGTAATTTGCGCGTATGAGTGCAGTTGGTACTTGGAAAGGGGAGAATGTTTCATCTTTTTCTGTCCCTGCCTCACATTCTCCTCTGGGCTGCTGTCACTGAGAGGCTGGGGCAGCTGTAATGGTTGTTCCTCTCTGTCTTCAGGGCCGACAGTTCCTTCAATTTCATGGCGTTTTTCTTTATCTTCGGAGCCCAGTTTGTCCTGACCATTATCCAGGCTGTTGGCTTCTCAGGTTGGGGTGCCTGGTAAGTCAGTAAACATGGCCATTGTGATGCATGTTAACACGTGAGTGCACGCGTGTCCGTCCGTGAAGGCCGAGTGAGGTAACATAGACCCAGCTTCCGACGGCTTCCTGCTCTTGTGAATGCTCCAAGGAGGTGCCAGGCAGTGGGGCCAGACGTCTGCTCCACCCCAGCCCCCAGCGCCTGTGTGCAGAGGCTCCACCCATGCTGTGCTGTGAGTGCGTGGTCACCAGCCACGCTGGGCACAGAGGAGAAACCCAGGAGCGTGGGCCAGCAGCCTGTCCTGGGAGGAAGAGTGACCCCACCATCTGGGGAGATCTGGTCTTCTCTTTGCTGAGCTTTAGGGTTACCATACATTTTTTGTGGCTGCTGTAACAAATTACTCCCAACTTAGTGATTTATAATAAAACAAACTCCTCATTTCCAGTTCTAGGGAGTTCACCACAGATCTCATGGGGCTAAACCCAGGTGTGAGCAGGACTGTCCTTCTGGGGCCTCCAGGGCGGAATCGTTTCCTCTAGAGGTGCCACACCTCTGGCTTATCACCCCTTCCTCTGTCTTCACAGCCAGCAGCGCAGCCTCTCCCATCTCTCTGACTGTCCTTTCTGCTTCCCTCTTGTGAGGACGCTGTGATGACACAGAGCCCCCCAGGGAATCCAGGGTCATTCCCATTTCAGAACCTTAACCCCACCTGCGAACTCCCTTTCCCACATAAGGTGCCATGTCCACAGTTCCCAGGGCAAGGACGTGGGCACCACTGGGGCTGTTACAGATCACAGTGCCGTGTCCACAGTTCCCAGGGCCAGGACGTGGGCACCGCTGGGGCTGTTACAGATCACAGTGCCGTGTCCACAGTTCCCAGGGCCAGGACGTGGGCACCACTGGGGCTGTTACAGACCACAGTGCTGTGTCCACAGTTCCCAGGGCCAGGACGTGGGCACCGCTGGGGCTGTTACAGATCACAGTGCCGTGTCCACAGTTCCCAGGGCCAGGACGTGGGCACCACTGGGGCTGTTACAGATCACAGTGCCGTGTCCACAGTTCCCAGGGCCAGGACGTGGGCACCATTGGGGTGTTACAGACCACAGTGCCGTGTCCACAGTTCCCAGGGCCAGGACATGGTCCACAGTTCCCAGGGCCAGGACGTGGGCACCACTGGGGCTGTTACAGACCACAGGTGGAGTCTTCAGCATCCAGCGTTGGGTAGGAGGCATCTGGGGTGGCTCTCTTTACACGCATACTGCCTGGGAGTGTCCTCATGTGTTTGGTCTCTTGGTTGAGTTTTCTTCAAACATCAGGAGCTCATTCCGTCTGTGCAGTTATAGCTCCCAATTCAAAAACTTTTTTTGTGTCACGTCCTTGAGTCTGGCCCTACTTTTTTTGGTGTTATCTGGGTCTTGCTTTGGGGTGCCTTGTGGCCATCATTTCCATGGCTTTCCTCCCTGTAACTTCCCTGTGTCCCCTGGGAGAGCCAGTGTGGTCCGCCTCAGCAGTGAGAAGTCATTTAGTCTCACTTGTTTCTTGAAGCTCATGTGGGTTTATGTGACCTCTTCAGCCCCATCCACTCAACTCCTTTCTTACTCTCTGTTTCCTGCTGTGTTTGCTGCCCTCCTCTGTACGGAGTCTTGAAATCATCTGCTTTTCACCTGAGGTCATTTCCAGAACACATGTCCCTACATCTTCCTGTTGCTGCTCCTTCCCACTCTGCACGGACCCTAAATACTGGCTTTCCTAGCTGATGCCCTCCCTTATCTGGGTCTGGAGGGCTGGTGAGGTACTGTGTCAGGGTCCCCTGGACCACACATAGGCAAGAGGACAACTGTCTGCTGATTCCTGGGGTTTGTGGTGAGGACCCCAGGACTCAGCAGACAGTTGTCCTCTTGCCTGTGGTTTATACAGAGACAGGATGGCAGAATGAGCCAAGGGAAAAGGTGTGTGGGCAAGTTGGGGTGGGGGGGATCAGATGCAAGATTCCAGAGTCCTCTCCCAGTGGGCTTCCCCAAAAAGACATGTGACAGGAGGCAGATGTGGTACCCAGGGTTCTTATTGGGATTGGTCATGGCAGGTACAAGATCCTAGATTCCAGCCCTGGCTGGTGTAGCTCAGTGGATTGAGCGCGGGCCTGCGAACCAGACAATCGCAGTTCGATTCCCAGTCAGGGCACATACCTGGGTTGCAGACCAGTTCCCTGCAGGCCAGTTCCCAGCAGGGGACGCACGAAAGGCAACCGTACATTGATGTTTCTCTCCCTCTCTCCTTCCCTTCCCCTCTAAAGATAAATAAAATATTTTTAAAAATTTAAAAAAAAAAAAAGATCCTAGATTCCAGGCGGGGAGCAGGTACTCAGTGTGAACCATGTGTTTGTGCAGGTATTTTAGAGCCAGGAAGCTGCCCCTACTGGGGAGGGTGCTGGGAGCCCCCAGAGTCCAGTTCCCAGAAGTCTACCTGTCACCCTGTTTTCCACCATGGGGAGGCACAGTCCCATTTCCCTCCAGCACTGAGCAGGGCTGGGGTTAGGGGATGGGGAGGGATAAGTGCCAACCATCTGGGGCCCTCAGAAAAGGGACAAAGTGTTTTTCTCTAATGTGAGATTAAGATGAGGAAGCAAGTTTTGATAACGATGGTGGTACTTATGCAGGTGGGGTCTGAGCACCTCTGTGTGTTGGCTCTTCTGCTCCGCTTCCTAAAAGGGTGTCACAGCCCCCATTCCACAGAAGGAGATACCGCGGCCCAGGACTGGCAGGGGAGGTAGGGCACTGGTACGTGAGGCCCCATCACTTCTGTTGAGTGTATGGCCAGCAGCCCTTCCTTGCTACCAATGTTCCTGCACTCAGACCTCTGGGCTCTGGAGAGGGCACCTGGAGGATACTGTGCTTGGCCTTCTCTAGGCCCGGAGCCAGAAGTGCTGGGCAGGGAGCTGGGACCCCAATGTTCTGCAGCACCAGAAACCTATACTCACTCCCTCCCAGGTCTCACCCTCCCTGCCCTCCTGGCTCTGGGCGGCCAGCAGTCCCAAAGCTCACCACCTGGGGGCGTGAGGACCTCATCCTCCACAGGGGCTTCCTGGTAGGGTGGGAGCAAAGATCAGTAGGAACAGTTCCCTGAGGAGACCTTCATCTTACTCCCAAGCAGAAGGGATGCCCTCAGGAGTGGCCCTGTCATGGTTACCGGCTCCTGTGTGGTGCAGACCTCTCACTCCCTGCACACTCATGATCTGCTTTGCAAACACACTCCTGTGAATCTGTTAAAGAGAAGGGTGCTTTAGAATATGTTAATATACGTAAATATGACCATGATTCCATCTCCTAAAACTCCCACATTTCCTTAAACTCAGGTGCTCAGAATGTGTATACTATTTCTTGTTCCTTTTTTTTTTTTTTTAAAGAATTCATTATTCTCAGAGAGAGGGAGAGAAATATCAATGTGTGGTTGCTTCTCACATGGCGCCCACTGGGGACCTGGCCTGCAACCCAGGCATATGCCCTGACTGGGGATCAAACAGGCAAGCCCTTGGTTAGCAGACCAGAACTCAAATCCACTGAGCCACACCAGCCATTGCTAAATGGCTATTTGTAAAGGAACAGTCCCCTGCTAGTGTGGCTCAGTGGATTGAGTGCCAGCCTGCAACCCAAAGGGTTGCCAGTTCGATTCCCAATCAGAGCACAAGCCTGGGTTGTAGGCCAGGTCCCCAGTAGGGGGTACACAAGAGGCAAGCATACATGGATTTTTTTTCTCTCTTTCTCCCTCCCTCTCTATCTAAAAAATAAACAGATAAAACCTAAAAAAAAAAATAAATAGCCTTTTAACCTTAGATACTCTGAGGTTAACAGAACATGCTGTGACAGGACAGAGTGCTGCCATCCAGCTGTCACCTGAGTCCTTTGCCTCCACCCAGACCGCAGGCTCCATTTGCGTTTCTGCAGCATTTCCACGAAAGCCGTTCTATTCAGGAACCCTTGTAGCATTTACTTAGCTGTCACTTTAGCAGTGTGTTCACATCAGGCTCGGGTTAGTGGTGCCCATTTCTGTGGGTCGGTATCTCTCTCCGGCTCTCACTGATCTGCAGGCACTACTGTCCCGTGTAGTGTCCTGCAGTCGGGGTTTTTAGAGTAATAGCTTCATTGAGATGCATTCCATGGACCAAAAATTCACCCTTTAGGTGGATAAATTAGTGTTTTTAGTACATCCACGGGCTTGCGCAGTCATTACCTCACACCTGTTTCCAGAATGCTTCATCAGCCCCCAAGGAAACCCGGCCCCATCAGCAGTCGCCTCATCCATTCTCCCAGCCCCTCACGACCATTAATGTAGTTTCTCTCCATGAGCATTTGGACATTTTACATAAATGGAATCACGCCCTGACCAGCGTGGCTCAGTTGGTTGGGCATCATTCCACAAAAGAAAAGGTCGCCAGTTTGATTTGTGGTTAGGACACATACCTGGGTTGCAGGTTTGGGTACCAGTCAGGGCGCATGAGAGAGGCAACCAATCGATGTTTCTCTTTCTTTCTCACTCTCTTCCTCAGTCTATAAAATGAATAAATAAGTAAGTAAATAAATTCCTTTTTAAAAAATTGAATCACATGCCTTTTGTGTCTGGCTTCTCTCACTGAGCATCGTGTGTTCAAGGTTCACCCACGTTGCAGTGAGTGACGGTGGTCACTCCTTCACTCCTTTCCATGGCTGAGTGATATTCCACATGTGGATGGACCACACTGTGTTTGTCTGTCCATCAGCTTATAGACACTTGAATAGTTTTTCCTTTTTTGCTGTTGTTAGTGGTGCTGCTGTGAAATTTCTGTGTTTTTGTGTGGGTAGGTATTTTTGTTTCAGATATCCAGGAGTGGCATTTCTGGGTGACATGGGAACTGTTTTAATTTTAACCTTCTGAGGAGCTGCCAGATTCTCCCACAGATTTTGCAGGCTGCGTCCTCCGCTGTCCTTTCTCATGTTCTGTCCCCCTCTCCCTGGTCTGTCCCCTCCCGCTCGCGGCTGAGCGGCCGTGGGGGAGCACCTGGCACCCCCACCCTGTCCCTGCCCTGTGTGCCCAGACCACTCTCCGCCCTCCTGTGTCCCATACGCTGTGTGTCTGGACCTCTGGATACAATTGGAGTGCAGTAGGCTCCCCACTCACCCGTTTGTATGAGGCCAGTTTGTCACCAGCTCTTCCGAACGATGTCACTCTGGGCTGTACATGGGCTTGTTCTTAGGGAAGCTGGCAGTCGCCAGCTCACTCCCGGTGAGTCTAAGAGGTGGTTCCTGGAGCAGGCTCCCCCTTCCACACCCCCAACTCGTCACCTTCCCCAGAGACCACCATCCTCGAGCTGGGGCCCCCACCTGCTCGGCCCCTTGTTCTAGGGCCCATCAGATCTGGGGGATCCCCAGCAAATACAGTGCCTCCTGCCCTTCTAGGAGCCTGAGAAGGCGGCCTCATCCCTCTCCAGGCGTGTCCAGCCTCCCACCCCGCCTGGCCCACGCCGGTTGCCTGTCCGTTTCACACAGCACCTACCTGAACCTTCCATTGTCTGGTTTTCCTCACACCCCTCAAAAGTGCATATGAGTGTGTATAGAATGTTCCTCCTTCATTCACAGGGTGGGAGTGGGTACTGTGTTCACATGTGCCTATAGTGTACAAATATGCACACATGTATGTTTTCATCCACAATCTCTAGAAGGATACACAGCAGGTAGATCATGTTGGTTCCTTGTGGGCTGGGAAGGGGGTTTGGCAGGAGAGAGGCTGTTTATTGTGTATTAAGTTTCCTGAACCTCAAACTATATGCTTTTACTAGTTGTTAAGAAGAAAATGTTCTCAGAAATACAGTGTTTCTTATCTCCCCTTCCAAGAGGCAAGCATGAATAAATGAATGTTGACTTTATTTTTTTTAAAGATTTTATTTATTTATTCTTAGAGGGGAAGGAAGGGAGAAAGAGATGGATAGAAACATTGATGTACAAGAGAAACAGATCGGTTGCCTCTTGCACACCCCCAACTGGGGGCCTGGCTGGGAATCAAACCAGTGACCCTTCAGTTCACAGGCCAGTGCTCAATCCACTGAGTCACACCAGCCAGGGCAGATGGACATTATTCTTTATGTGGGCCAAGGATGTGCTTTGTTCATAGGACCTTACTGTGCCAACTGAGGTTCAACTTCCTTTCTTGCCTTTAAGTTTTCTACCATCTCCTTAGTATTCTGTTTAGCGGTTATAGCATAATTCATGTTCTTCTTGTTCCCAGCCAGTGGACATGTAGGGTCTTCCCAGCTTTTCATTATTCCAAAAGATTGCTGTAACATTAATTCTTGGAAGTAGAATAGTTGGGGTAACTAAATCTTTTTACTGATAATGCTCCATTGACCTCCAAAAAGGGTGTGTACCACCACTAACAGAGTGGTGTTTGTATCTCTGTTTTCTTGAACATATGACGTTTGCCTGTGTGATGGAAATGATACTTATTCTAACTTGCACATCTTTTTTTTTTTAAGATTTTATTTATTTATTTTTAGAGAGAGGAAGGGAGGGAGAAAGAGAGAGAAAAATATCAGTGTATGGTTGCCTCTCACATGGCCCCCACTTGGGGACCTGGCCTGCAACCCAGGCATGTGCCCTGATTGGGAATCAAATCAATGACCCTTTGGTTTGCAGTCCATGCTCAATTCACTGAGCTATACCAGCCAGGCCAAACTTGTACATCTTTATTGGTGGGTCTGAGCCTCATTTTGTGAGTTTATTGGACTCTCTGTAGTCCTTGTGAGAATTGCCTTTGTCTTGTTAGTTTGTCAGGGCTCTTTACATATGGAGGGTGGTGGTCCCTTGTCTGGCACACATGCTAGCACCCACACTCTCTCCCCTTGCAGTGGTTGGTTGGCAGCAATTGGATTCTTCCAGACCAGCGTGGGGGCCGCCGTCATCATGCTGCTGCCGGCCATCATGTTCACAATGTCAGCCGCCATGATGGCCATTGTGATCATGAAGGTAAGTCCTCTGAGTGCTGAGATGTCTGACTTCTTCCCACATGTCCTCTCACCTGGCCCCTGGGACTTATCCTATTCCCATTTCAGGAGCGACAGACTGAGTGTCTGGGAAGTGATTTGATCTGCATCAGCAGGGAAGTTGCTCTCAGGTTCTGGACCCTTAACTGCTCAGGCCAAGACCCAGCCTGTCTCCTCCATGGTGGTCTTCCAAGGAGGAATGACCTGGAGAAATGGCACAGTGTGGGCTAATGATGACTGCATCTCCCTTTATGTATGCCCCCAGCACACACTAGTCACAAAGGTCTGTCCACGCTGGCTACATGTTGTCATTGGTAGTTAAATTCAAATTAAGTAAAATTAAATAAAACTAAATATCCAGTGTGTCCATTGTGCCCAGCTTATCCCCTGTGTTCAGTGGCCGCATGGGGCTGGTGTCCTCACAGCAACTTTTGCAGCATCACGGAAAACTCCCCTGGATTGCGCCGCTGTGATACGTGGGGGCTTCCAGCGAGAAACATTTGCACTCTAGTCCTGGAGGCACTGGCCACTAGAGGGTTGTCCTGGAACCCCATGAAAGCCGATGGGCAATGACAAGGTTATTGATGTGTCTACCCCAGCACTCCCAGAGGTGGCCATCTCTGCTGCATGCACAGGGTTGCTACTCAGGGAGGTTGGCTGCGTGCTGAGCTGCATGATTGCCACAATTTTTAGAGATGGGTGTGGAGTCCCTCCCAGCTCCTTGCCACATGGTTCTAGCTGTTGCAGCGTGCTTCGAAGCTGGGCTGCCTAGTTGGCGCACTTGGCTGTCAGCGAAGACAAAGCAGTGCCTATCTTCTTAATTTCACATCCCACCGTCCTTTCAGCTATAGGACAGTCTGAAGGGACACACCAGCACAAACCACGAGTGTACTTAGAAATACCACAGGTGATTGTTAGTGAGATTCCAGAACAAAATCCGTAGGGAAACTGAGAAGTTCTGCGCCCACTGGAACTTCTGCTTAGCAGCACACATGTAACAAATACAGGCGAGAAGCTGGGGAAAATTCCAGCACAGTGTGAGAGAGAAAGGGCCCAAACCAGACTGAGTCCCCCCCCAAAGATACAGGCGACTCCCTTTGTCAAGTCCCCAGGGCCACCCCAGGTTTGGGGATTTGCTGGGAAGAAATTTGCATAGAAGGACACATTTCCATGGAAAACAACAAAACCGTTTATTTTCACTAGTAATCAAGAGCCTCATGTTAAAACAAAGTGCCATTTTCTTTGTTATTGAATTTGCCAGGATTTCTAGAAAGAGAACAGCCAGGTGTTCCCAGTGGTGCAGCCTGGGACAGGGCAGCACAGCCTTTCTGGCTGGTGGGGGTCGGTGGTGCGGCCCCAGGGGTCCCTGTTGAGGACGTCGCCACAGTACCCATCGATGGCTGCGTGTGACTTGTGGGCCTGGGCCTGACACTCCCACAGCAGGAGGGCATCGAGTAATTAGCACAGGTTTCTGGTGGGTTTCTCCATTGCCTGCAAGTGCCCTGGGAGAGACAAGCCCCAAATCCATGACAGGACCAGGCTCTCTCTGTGACAGATGTGCTGTGGGCCTCACAGGACAACAGAGGCTGGCACCAAGAGGCACCAGGGGGCTGTGGCTCAGGGCTTGGTTTTCTGAGTTCATGACCTTGGATTCTGTGTTCTTTCTAACATTTCCACAAAAACTATTCTGTGGCCTTTGTAATTCCTTTCAGAAAAGCTCAACCTTAAATGTGAGTGGTCTCCCTGGCGTACATGGAAGTGCTGATCTCTGACCTCTGCTACCACCCTCTGCAGGTGCACAGGATATATCGGGGAACCGGTGGAAGCTTCCAGAAGGCACAAACAGAGTGGAACGCAGGCACTTGGCGGAACCCACCGTCTCGGGAGGCCCAGTTCAACAACTTCTCGGGGAACAGCCTGCCTGAGTACCCTACTGTGCCCACCTATCCAGCCAGTGGCAGCCAGTGGCCTTAGAGGGCACTGACTGGCCTTGCCACCCACCTGCCATTGCCATCCCTCCTGCTCCTTCCCATCCACTCCTGGCAGCCATGCTGGGGCTGGTGAGGCCCTGGGCATCTGTTCCCTGCCTTTTCTAGGTGGCAGATAGGCCACTCCTCAACCAGGACAGCAGCAGGGGTTGGTGGCCACCAGGAGCCCCCTGTGTTGGGATGGTGGCCCTGGCAGCCCTCGGGGACCCGTGCTCGTGTTCATCTCACTTCCAAGAGTGGGGCTCCTGGCAGCACTGCCCAGAAGCGGCCAGCTGTGCCGTTGGGCAGAGGGACACCCCTCTTGCTCCTAAAGACGTTTGGTCACATAATGTCTACTGCCACAGCCATACCCTCTTCACTTGGGGTCTCAGAGAGCTGACCCTGGGCCTCCCCGGGAAGTTGGAAGTAGGCTGGCTGCCCTCCATCCCAGGGCTGGTGATGCTAAGAAGGGCTCCAAGAACTCCCCCACCCCCATTTAGGACCATCGCCCTCCCCCAGTGCTCGGGAAGAGCGGTGCCTTCTCAGCACCAGGTTCCCTTCCATGCTGGTGATGTAGACACTTCAGGTACAGCTGGGTCCTTGACATTTTTATCCCCTTGAGTTCTCTGTTCATTTGTAACTGGGGACTCATGGGATGGCCATAGGACAGTTTACCACCTCAGTGCCAGGATCTCAGCTTCTCCCTGTCCATCTGTCCCAATTGCTTGTCTCCAGCCTTCCTGCCCACAGTCGCTGTCCCCCAGAGATGCTCTCTTTCCCCATAATGGGTGTTAAAACCCCAAATCCTGGGCTGCTTGTACCCATGCCAGGAACCTGGCCAGGGTGTCCATCTAGATTCGAAACCTGGTACGGAACCCTTTGAGGGAAGGTACCAGCCTCTTCTCACACCATGCAGGAAAACAGGTGCATCTCAGAGTGTGGATGGTCTTGAGGTCACTGTCATCCAGGGGCCTGAGTGCTGGGCCAGCCACCACTTAGGCTGTGATCTGTACTGCCATTTCTGGATATGTGGAAGCAGGTGTCACTTCTCAGGAGAACAGCGTTTTAGGAAGAAACAAGCTGTGACAAAATTCTGTGCCTTACTGAGGAATATGAACACCATCACTTCTCCCCCAGATTCTTCTAGCTCTTTCTGAGGTAGAGGAACCAGATGTCCTGTGGGCATCGCCACACCTTTGTGAATGGACTGGCTGAGGGATGTGCCCTGGTGGCCTCTCAACCCATTGGCCAGGCTTCAAGTACTGTTGTCCCTCAGCTCCCAACTGCCTGTCCCTTGGGGCAGGGCCAGGGACCCATTCCTGTCACACCATGCTCCTGGGCTGTCTTCGGAAGCTCTGATGTGGTGGAATGTGTTCTCACATATGCTTGCTTTCGATTCTTCTGCCGAATGCCATGTGGTGTCCGCGTGGTGCTTCCTCGGGGACCCTGAGGGAGCACTCGGGCCTGACTCTTGGGGGGGTCCCCCAGCTGTGGTTTCCTTTTGGACCGTGACCACCCCAGCTGACAGGCTGGCCTTGAGGGCCTGGGGGGCTTCCAAGGGTGAGTACTCCTGAACAGAGAACATGAGCCTTGGTTTCCCAGGTTCTCAGTAACATCCCCGAGCCAGCTCCCTGCATGGATGAAGGTCCACTCTGCTAATTGTGGACTGAATCTCATCTTGGCTGATAGGAATACAGCTGATTAACCAGGTGCAGGATAAACATACATGAGCACCCTTCAACCCTCACCCCACTGTACGTGGCACCTGTTACATACGTCATAGTAGATTTTGTTACTTGGAAATATTCTGGAAATAAATCCTTTCTGCAGTAGACCAAGCCTTGTGGGGCCTGTCTGTGGTTTGTGTCGTGTGTGCATGCCCGTTTGTGCCCATTCGTGGTTTTACCCCGCCTGGGCCTCCTGTCAAGCACCTCAGCTCCCACGGCCTCCAGCAGAGTGACACCGGGACTGGCCTCTGCACCTGCACCTGTGCTTGGTGGTGGGCCGCCCCTGCCAGCAGCAGGTGCCAAACCTCCCCTTGCACCAAGGACAGGGCCCAGCACTGCGCACCCTAGGCATCTTGTGCTCAGGTGATGTCCACACCCCACTGCAGTGTGGTTTCCTTCAGGTTTTTCTTTTAAATCAACTTGTTTCTTCACGTTCAACAGTTTCCATTTGAAAAAGGAAATTTACTGCAAATGACAATCCAGTTTGTGTTATCCAAAGAGTGAGGTCTGAGAAAACCTCAGGGCATTGTCAGCTCCAGAGAAATAGCCCAGAAGACCAGCTGTGAGACGCATGGGTTTGTGTGTGTGCTGGTGGCAGCCAACCAAGGCAGTTTCCTGCCAAGTCCCATCCGGCCTGCAGATGGGCCGCACCAGGGGAGGCTGGGTGGTGAAGTTTGCCACCACCCAGACTATCCATACAGGCTTCTAGAGCACAGAAAACAGCAAGATGGGGCATGCGGGGGGTGGACACTCGTGCAGAAGTTGTGTGAGATCAAAACGGAAGCTGTTCCTCTGCGGTTGCTTACAGACCAGGTTCACATCTGAGAACAGTTTCTGTTTTGTCATTTCTTCAAAGATTTTTTTATTTGTAGAGAGAGAAGTGAGGGAGAACGAGAAAGAGAGAAATATCGAGGTGTGAGAGAAAGTGATCTGTTTCTGTTGACCCTTGTATGCCCCCAGCTGGGGACCTGGCCCTCAACCCAGGCATGTGTCCTGACTGGGAATTGAACCAGTAACCTCTCAGTTCGCAGGCTGGTGCTCAATCCACTGAGCCACACCAGCCAGGGCATGTTTGCTTGTTTCTTGACTGAATGAGGTTCTGGCCAGACTCCTGAGGTCAGTCCCAAAGTCCACTTACTGATGATCATCATATTCTGGGAGGGTGGGAGGGGCACTTGGAGTATGGGAAGGGGGCTGTGTTGTCACATACCATATAGCCTACCATAAAGGAAAAATAATGATGGACGTAGCTGGACTAGAAGTGACTCTCTTACAGATGCCCAGCTAGAGGACCTCTCCACAACCCTGGGGCTTGTGGGGCCTGCTGGTGGCAGAGAGTGGACACCCCCAAACAGACGTGGGACAGAGGGTGGCAATCTGTTATTCCACAGGGCACACTGCCACCGTGGGAAGGAGACTGAACTCACAGGAAGGAAGCAGACAGTGTTCCCCCAAATTAACACATGGAAGTCCTTACCTTCTAGGACCTCAGAATGGGCCTTATTTGGAAAAGAGGGTCTTTCCAGGTGTAATTAGCTAAGGTGAGGTCGTAGCAGAGCAGGGCAGCCCTAATCCAACCTATAAAGGGAACACTGGACACAGACCACACAGGGAGTCACCACGTGAAGATGGAGGGCGAGACTGGGTGATACATCCATGGACCGAGGATGCCAGTGCCACCAGAGCTGGGAGAGAGGGAATAGCAGGAAATGCCAGGGAAGTGGAGAGATGGAGAGTGAGGAGCACTGTGCCTTAGGGACACAGCCAGTGGTGTACAGGTCACAGATCGGCTGTGTGGGCCTTGAGGACGGAGAGCATGTGTCCCCAGCTGGGTGGGAGATGGGCTTGGTGACAGGGCAAAGCCGGAAAAGAAGAAGCCAGGAAAGTGAGAAACCGGTGAGCAGCAAGGAGGTGGAGGGCACCCAGGCCTGGAGACATGTAAGGACAGGATGGGGTAGAGTGGAAAGAGGTGACCAAGGACAGCTGAGAAGGGGCTGTTGGCAGGGTGGCAGTGACAGGATTCCAACTGCAGGGAGTTACCCTCCTCCATTCCGGGGCCGAAAGCCCAAACCCAAACTGTCACCGGGGAATGGTCCTTCCTGCCTCTTCCAGCTTCTGGGGGCTCTTGTGTCCCTGGGATTGGGGCCAGATCACCCTTGTCTCTGCCACCATCTTTGCCCAGCCATCTCTTTTGTGTCTCTATGTTTTACAAGGACACTATCCTTATATTCTGGGTCATCCTAATCTGGGGTGATTTCATCTTGAGATTCTTTTCTCCTTTTCGCTCAGTTCCTCCACCCTCTAATCACCCCAGTCTTGAGGGGTTTTTAAAAAGATTTTTTAAAATATATTTATTTATTTATCTTTAGAGGAGAAGGAGAAAGGAAGAGAAACATCAATGTATGGTTGCCTCTGATGCATCCCCTGCTGGGAGCTGGCCTGCAGGGAACTGGCTTGCAACCCAGGCATGTGCCCTGACTGGGAATTGAACCGCGATCCTCTGGTTCGCAGGCCCATGCTCAATCCACTGAGCTACACCAGCCAGGGCTAGATTTTTATTTTTATTTTTTTATTTCTAGAGAGGGGGAAGGGAGGAAGACAAACATCGATGGGCAAGAGAAACATTGATTGCTTGCCCCTTGCACATCCCCTACTGGGGACCTGGCCTGTAACCTAGGCATGTGCCCTCACTGGGAATTGAAACAGTGACCTTTCAGTCATGGGACAACACTCCAACTGAGCCACACCAGCCGAGGTGATATAGGTTTGAAAAGAAAAATTCTGACTGAGGGATCATGTACTAGATACATGTACTAGATCCAAAAGCTTGGATCCTGATGGATAATTTCCAGAAGTAATTTTAAGTGGGGAAGGGGTGATTTGGTTTTTGATGCTCCATCAACCCAGATCCAGGACCCTGGGCCAGGGCAGGAGGGAAGGCCACAGTGAATGTGGGCCCGTATCAGTGCCCGGGTCAGTGTTACAGAGGACCCCAGACTGGGTGGCTTCAACAAGAGGAATTCATGCTCCCACATTCTAGAGACGAGACATCCTAGAACAAGGTATCTCCCAGCCACACTCCCTCTGAACCCTCTAGGGGAAGGTCCTTGCTGCCTCTCCCAGCCAAATACTAGTATTTATTATGTTAGGATTCAAGACAGAAAATTCATAAACATTTGTTAATGTTGTTATTTTAAAATAAACTCATTATATTTTAACATAAAAAAAAAACAACTTTAAAAAAAGATTAGCCTTGGCTGGGTAGTTCAGTTGGTTAGAGCACCGTCCCAACATGCCAAGATTGTGAGTTCGATCTCCGGTCAGAGCACATACAAAAACACCAATGGGCCCTGACCAGTGTGGTTTGGTTGGCTGGGCATCATTCTGCAAAGTGAAAGGCTACCAGTTCGAGTCCTGGTCAGGGTGCATGCCTGGGTTGCCGTTCAGTCTTGAGTTGGGGAGTGTGTGGGAGGCAACGATCGATGTTTCCCTCTCCCTCACATTGATGTTTTTCTCTCTCCCTTCTCCTCTCTAAAAATAAATAAATGCAGTCTTTTAAAAAAGCAACCAATGGGTGCATAAGTGGATGAAACAACAGGTCAATGTTTCTAAAATCAATAAATAAAAATTTAAAAAAGACAAGTGGTATAGTTTGCATTTTGCGAATCTCTAACATCTGGCTCTACAGAATAGGACGGCCGGACCCTCCAGAAGGCTGCTGCGTTCACCCCGTGGCAGCACGCATTTTGGCCCCAAGACAGATGGAAGGCAAGATGTTTACCTGGAAGGTGAAGGGAAGTTCCTACCTAGGTGGACATAAATGAACAGGTCACAGCTGTGGGCAGCCTGGGCTCAGTCCCTCTGGACCCTTTGGGAGGCGCTGGCACCCTGTCTCAGGCTGTCCTGCCAAGGGTTGGGGCCACTTATCTTCTAATTCCCACACAACCAGTCTGGGGGCCTTGACTCTGCCCTCAGGTGGAATGGTAGGTGCTGGTCTGACTACATGTGTGTGTATGTGTGTGCATATGTGTATGTCCAGTGTGCATACATGTGTTTTGTGTCCCCCCCCAAAAAAATCTATATGTTGAAGTCTTAACCCCCAGGACCGCAGAATGGGACTGTCTTTGGAAACAGGGTCAGTCCATATGGGGTTAGTTTAGACGAAATGATACTGGAGTAGGCTGGCGTCATTACAAAAGGGGAACTGTGGACACAGACACACACACAGGGAGAACCCCATGGGAAGACTGGGTTAACGCTGCTGCAAGCCGACAGAAAGGTCTGGATCAGATCCTCCTTTGGCGCCTTTGGAGAAAGCACAGCTTACCAACAACCTGATCTTGTGCTTCTGGCCCCCAGAACCGTGAAATAATCAATCTGTCTTTTCAGTCCCTCAGCCTGTGGACGTGCTATGTGGCTAGTGGGGCCAGTGGGGGAGGACCCGTTGCCATGCTTGGCGGATCTGCTGGGAGCTGGCTGTTTCCATCACAAGCTCCACTTTCCAAACCTCAAACAGGTCTATTTGCTGATCTCTTAGGCTCCTGGGGCTGCTGTAACAAAGAACCACAAATGGGGTAGCTTAAAACAGCAGAAATTTGTTCTCTATTAGTTCTGGAGGCGGAAGCCTGAGATCAAGGTGTTAGCAAGACTGGATCCTTCTGAGGCTATGAGGGAGAATGTTCCCAGGACTCTCTTGTAGCTTCTGGTGGCTCTGGCAATCTTTATGATTCTTGGCTTGTAGATACATCACTCCATTTTTTCTGTGTTATCGCATGTCTGTTGCCCTGAGTATCTGTATCCAGATTTCCCTCTTCATATAAGGACGCCAGTTAGTACATTAGGGCCATCCCTACTCCAGTGTGACTTCATTTTAACTAAATTATATCTGTAAAGGCCCTATTTCCAAATAAGGTCTCATTCACAAGTACCAGGGTGTCAGGACTTCAACATGTCTTTTTGAGGGACACAATGCAATCCTAACAGTGGCCAAACCAGGCCCACATCTGGATGATTTTCCTGGAGCCACCATAACAGCACTACAAAACCCAATTTATCCCTCACATTCTGGAGCCCAGATGTCTGAGATTAATGTGTTGCTCCCTGTGGAGGCTCCAGGAGAGGGTCTTTCCTGCCTCCTCTGGCTTCCTGGGAGCTCCAGTGTCCCTAGGCTCATGGCTATATCGCCTTAATTTCTGCCTGTCTTCACACGGCTGTGTTTTCTGTTTCTGTGTTTCTCTCTTCTTTTTATAAGGACATCAATCATTGGATTCAGAGCTTACCCTGATCCAGCATGATGTCATCTTAACTCATTATACCTGCAAAGACCCTATTTCCAAATACAGTCACATTCTGAGGTTCTAGGTGCACATGGATTTTTGGGGGGATGTGATTCAACCTCTACCTTGCCCAGGCCTTGGCCCCCTGGAAGTGGGGTGGTAATGTGGCTTAGTTACAGGTAGGACACTGCATGCCCCACATTCAGATGACTAAGCCATCCTGATTTGTCAAGACTTCTGGGTTTTAGCACTGACAGTCCCAGGAGACCCAAGAAAACTGGGGTGCCTGGTCACCTTACACTGTACCACAACAATGGGGCAGACAGATGCCCAAGAAGCCACCTGTGGCAGAAGGCCACTATCACATATCACAAATCAGTTGCCTCCTTCCACTGAGTAATCCTAGAGGATCTGATTGGTTTACTTTGGGCCAATCAGAGATGGCTGGGCTGTCACATGGTATAGACCTCATTGCTGAAGGATGTCCTCAGAGGATGGGGAGACCCTGGAGATGGACAGTTCATCCCAGGAGCTTCTGCAACCTTGGGACCTCAGTGTTTTCAAGGGTGTCCCTCACTGCCTCTCCCATGTGTCTTCTGGCTCGTTTTTCCTCCATTGTTCACAACTTCTGAAGAGAGAGAACCCTGATTTCTCCCAGTCAGTCCTGTGGACAAGGCACTGTGCCACACATTATGATTAACAACTCTTCCAATGCAGACACTGGGACCGGAGTAGTGGGTAGAGGTTTTAGGCACTTCCTCAGAACAGTGGGATCCAGCACTACCCACTGATGGAAGGCAGTAGCACTGGAGTTTCAAAGTTAGGGGTCAGCCCTGGCTGGTGTGTCTCAGTGGATTGAGCACCAGACTGCAAAACAAAGGGTGGCGAGTAAGATTCCTACTCAGGGCACATGCCTGGGTTTTGAGCCGGGCTCCCAGTAGGGGGCATTTGAGAGGCAACCACACCTGGATGCTTCTCTCCCCCTCTAAAAATAAATTTAAAATCTTAAAACAAAACAAAACAAAACAAAACAAAACGCTGGGGGTCAGTTAAGTCGCTTCACATCTCCAAACTTTAATTTTCACATATTAAAAATGGGAATGTGCAAGTTTAAGCAAATCTCTGCACAGTATGCGTAGAGCCCTGGCTCTAGGGGATGCAATTAACCTTTGTCAATTTGATAAAATGAACCAGGGCACCTGCTTACGCCTGGGCTGGTGCTGGACACCAGGACACAGCCCTGAGCCTGTCCCGAGGTCTCTCTAATGAGGGGGACACAGATGGATCCTCCTTTTGTAAGAGTAAAAAAATAGAAGGTGGTGTTCCGTGAAGTCCAGTTTGGGATTTACTGGCAAGGATACAATTTGAATTTCTGGAGGGTGACAGGGAGACCAGCTCATCCTCTGTACATTGTTATTATTTTATCAAGAACCCCAAGGGGGCTATTTTCCACCTCAGCTTTCCCAATAGTGTCCCCATAACCAAAACTGGAGAACACAGAAAATGTGGACCACATTTGAAATGGGTTAAAAATGAGAAAGCTGGAAAGGTAGTTTGCTTTTTTCAAAGATCCCAAATGACTAGACAGAAATATGTTCATTTGAGGCCAAAGTTCCTATGCTACAGGTTTTTTTTTTTAGGATTTTATTTATTCATTTTTAGAGATGGGGAAGAAAGGGAGAAAAACATTGATATGAGAGAGAATCATCAATCAGTTGTCTCTTGTATGTGCCCTGACTGTGGACCAAACTCAAAACTCAGGCATGTGCCCTGACCAGCAATCGAACCAGGGACCTTTGGCTTTATGGGACAATGCCCAACCCACTGAGCCACAGCAGTTAGGGACTACGTACGCCACAGTTCGTTATTCATTAACTCATGGACTCCTACGTTAGACCCGAGGAAACCAGAGTTAATCCTAATGTACAATGAAGATGTGGAGGACCAGAGGTCAGTAACCCCACCCATAGTTACACAGCCTCTGGCAGGCACAATCCCTAACTTGGCCTCACTTTCTGCATTCTGCCTGCTGCACAAACCACCCTGCCCTTTTACAGGGCAAGGCTGGAACTCAGATTTAAAGCGAAATACCTCTGGAGCCGAGGCCATGGTGCCATCCACTCCCCTAGGAGTTGAGGGCCTGAAAGCAGGCTTTCCTGAACCTCAAAGTGGAAGAGAAAAGATGGAACAGGGAAGTCTGAGGAAGGCCAGAATTTGGGAGGACCATGGAGTTAATTCTTTCATTCCTTCCTTCCTTTGTCCACCATACACAGACTGAGTGCCTAGTGTTACAGGCACAGAAGTGAGCAAGAGTCCGTCTGTCCCGGCATGGCTGGAGAAGGAGGTTGATTTTAAATACACTCCTTTCTAGCATGGAGAAAGTCAGGATGCAGTGAGAAAGGACAACGGGGGGTGTGGCTTGGGCTTCCTAGAGACGCTGCGGTGGAAAGCGGGACTGTAGGACTGGGGCAGAATAAGCCTTAAAGGTTGCCTCTGCAAGGGCCTGGCTTGCTGCCAAACCACTGCCATTCCACTGTCCCATTCCAGTTGAATTATCCTACCCACTTTTTAAAAAAGATTTGATATGCTTTTTTAGAGAGAGGGGAAGGAAGAGAAGGAGAGAAACATCGATCACTTGTCTCTCATGTATGCAGCCCAACCAGAAACTGAATCCACAATCTGGGCATGTGGCCTGACTGCAAATTGAACCGGCGACCTTTGGCGCTTTAGGGAATAGGGCGCTTTGGCGCAAGTAACTGAGCCACACATTTGGGCAACTGTGCCTCGCTGGTCAGGGATCCTACCCCCACTTTTTCTTTGCACCTCATCTGGCTACTAGTCAGTGGGACAACAGTCAAGAGAGCAAGGGATCTTCCTCCCATCTGATTACATGTACCTTTAGCCATTATGGTGCGGCTCTGTCACTGCTCCACACCACCTTGTAACACCCTCTGAAACCAACGTGTCTATTTATTTAACGTCCTGTACTCACTTGCTCCCAGGATTGAGAACTCCCTAAGCAAGTGACGGCACGGTCCAGCTCACCATTCTATTTTCAGAGCCGATTGTGGGCACTTAATAAACACTTGAATGGAAGCGTCTCCTCCAACGTTAAAATGCTCCCAGGAGGTACGCGAGGCATGCGGGTGCACAGCACCATTTATCCAGACCCTGTCCTGGGTGGAGCAAGGCCTCAAAGCTTATAGTTGACCAGTCACCCCCTCCCCAGGCCTCCTCTCGCTCGGGCGGTGAGCGGTGGGCATTATTGAGTGCCACCTGCGTGCAGGACCTGTGTTCCGCAGGGCAGCACAGTATTATCCTGTGCATTGGACGACCCACGGGGGACGCGGTCCATAATGAGCCCTCCTTTACTACTCGTGACGTCACCGCTTATTAGGACTCAGCGAAACTCGGCCACACCGTTTACCTAACATCCTGGAATCCTTTACTCTTCCCGGCCCCACCCAGCTCGTCTCCAGCCTCCTGCCCCGGAAGTTAGCCGGTACCGGCGCTGACCACGCCCCCGGCACCGCCCGGCGATGACTTCAAGTGGCGAGACCGTGACGTCACAGAAGCGCGGCGGGCGGCCGGCCGGCCACGCCTTGCCATGGCAACGGCTGGATGAGCTCGGGTGGACGGCGACAGAACCGCCCCTCAAAGGGTGGAAGCGGCCCGGCTGCCTCTCGGCCCCCTTGCTCCCCCGCAGCTGTGACACTTTGGTGGCTCGGCGGGCAGCAGCCTGACCACCCTCGAGCGGCCGCAAAGCGCGGCAACCGTCGTTCGGCATTACCCGCTGCCGCAAAGCGGCGGGTGCGCCGCTTGTCTCCACCCCGCGCTGTGACGTTAATGCGCGCCCTGCAGCTACGGCGGCTGCGCAGTGGGCGCCGCGCCCTCCCCGCGACGCTGGTGGCGTAAGCGCGGGCCGGGGCGACGCTGCGAGACGGGCGAGCCGGGCGCCCGCGCGGCGGGGACGGCCCGCGCCCAACATGCGGAGGCCGGCGGTGCGGGAGCGGGGGCTCGAGCGGGCGCCGGAGCTGGAACGAGATCGGGACCCGGAGCGGCGGCCCGTGCCGCGCTGCTGAAGGAGCCTGGGCCACCCAGCTCGGCCGGCCGGTCGCGGGGCCACGGCGGAGGCGGAGAGGTAACGACGCGCGCGCCCTCGCCGGCTGTCGCGGCCACGCGCCCGGTCCTGCGGCCCCACCCCCGCGGACCCTGGACCTACCGCTCCTACACCCAGCGGACCCCGCTACCCCTACAACCCACGCTCTGGGCCCCCGCACCTCAGATTTCTGGGTCCGTACCACTCGCGGACCCCCGCACTCCGAACCCTGCCAACCCCAACTCCCACTGACCCCACAATCCGGAACATGTTGTCCCAGTACTTCCTCCATCCCCATACCACACTCGGACTCCACTGAACCTACAGCCCACTGATCCCCATACTCTAGACTCCTACTTCTCACTCCTTTCTTTCTACTCTCTTGATGTTGTCCCCCCCCAGTGACCCTCAAACTTAGATCTTGCCATCTCTCACATTCCAGGTCCAGCTGCTCACATTGACCCCTTTCTCCAGGCTCAGATGCCTTCACTGACCCCTCAGCTCCCGACCCAGGTGTGTTCTCTAACTCCTCACTCCAGACCCTGCTGTCCCCACTGTCCACTTAGCCCCACCCCACCTTTTCCCAGTGCTTAAGCTCACTGCGCACTCCCCGTGACACCTATTCCTCCAGCTCTCTTCCCTGGACCGCTGCCCACCTGGTCCCTACATCTCTTCTTCACAGGGGTGACTCTATCCCTTGTGTCACACATTTGTGCCACAGTGTCACACATTTCCCCTCTCTTTTGTAGTGTTGAAGATCTTTCAGGGAGAGCCCAGAGGAAAGGTTTTGGGTGGGCAAGAGGTGTGCACCAAGGAGGGGCCTCAACTGTGGTGACCTGTTGCAGGGTGCTGCTCAGGAACTGCCAGCTTTTAGCCTGGCTTGGCCTTCCATAACCCTCGGCCTTCCACCCTCACCACTGCTTTGTTGTCTGGAAAGGCTTCAGATCCCAGAGGGGTGGTGGGAGGCCTCCTCTGCTGGCCACACCCATCCCACCACTAATTCCTGCCTTGTTTAGGACAGTGCTTCCCCTGCCCCCTCTACCCCAACTTTCTTCTGGGGGTTAGTGGCTGGGGGCCTAAGAGAAAGGCTTGCAGTTTAGTCGAGGTTGTTGTCCTGGGAGGTTCTGGGCAGCTGAATTATTCCCAGCATTGTTGGACGAAAATTGGCCCTGGAGGGTTTCCTGCGTGTAGGTGGAGTCTGGCATTTTCTCCCCAGTTGCTTCCACAAGGGCACCCAGGCCTGGCCAGTGTCGGACTACAGGAGTGGCTGCATGTCCATCGGTGGTGCTCCATCTGGTGTGGCTCTGGCTCCCTGGGTCTTCTGACCCTGCTGGGATGGGGGGCACGCATGGGCTCCCTTGGCGTTTGCCAGCCCAGGCCCGTGGGAGTGAGGTGTGTGGGGGAGCAGAAAGGCTCCCGTGGAGGGGAAAACCACCTGTCAAGGAGCTGCTCTTGTCGGGGAAGGGGTGCCACCACAAGGGATAGAGTCACCCCTGTGAAGAAGAGATTGTGAGCCAAGCCCACAGGTTTAAAAGGGGGAGATTTGCTGTGGTTGCCAGTAGTTAGTTTCTGTGTTTCGCTGTGTCTCCACCGAATTGTGCTCTAAGAAGGGAACCACTCTGGGCCCTGCAGGCTGATGGGCAGGGGCTTGGTGCAGCATCCGCAGACGCTCATTTCCAGGGCCCAAAGTGTTTGCACACACACCCCTGCCCCCAGCTCCCTCAGGTTCTCTGGCCATGCCCCTCAGGAATAGAATAGTAGGGCTGCTTGGGGCGCTGGGGGTAGGCTCAGTCCCAGGTTAGGGGGCCAGAGGTGTGATCATGTCGCAGGGGTGGGGAGGCTCTCTACAAGGAGCTGGCTGGACTCTCCAGCCCAGCAGCAGGGAAGTCACAGGTCTGGTTTGTCTGCGCACCACTGGTAGTCAGCCCTTTTCTTGTAAAGTGGCTTCTTGTCTGGTTCCAGTCTGTCTGATTTCTCTGAAGCAGATGATGACAGGCACCTCATTACCTGGCTCTGGGTGTTCCTGTGCTGTGACAGCCACCCTGTGCAGACTGACTGCCTTAACGGCTGGTTCTGGCTCCATCTGACTCTTGTCCTGATAATGTAGTAATTTTCTCTGGGTAGCAAGAGGAAGCAGGTGAGGTTTTTTTAAAGCTGAAAACCTTTCTATGTGCTCACCCTAGCTTTGGGGGAGCCAGCATGCCAGCCAGTAATTTGGGAAGCAGGCCAGCCGAGAGGCATCCTGGACAGCTGTGGAGCCACTTGTGTCCTTGGGGATTTACTGGTAGGTCTGAGCAAGGTCCTTGCGAGGTTAAACTTAGGGACAGCGGCATCTGCCCCGGGATACTAACTTATCCCATGGTTAATTTTGCTGTCCCTTTTGGGTCCCCAGGAGCTGCCCCAGGCCACCTCAGGAGCAGCAGGGTTCTTCATCAGTGTAGTTGTGGTTGGGTTGGGTCCCTGTCTTGGCATATCCTTTCTGGGCTCTGAAAGCTCAGGGGTGAATGGGTGGGGCAGGGAAGGCGGGGCACCTTTGGAGCTGGGGGCATAGGTTATAGTGTGGCCAGGGGCCACCAGACTTCAGGCCTTGGTGGTTTGGGGTGGATTGGCTACCTTTGTTTAAACCTAAAGGGAAGTCAGGTCCTTGTGAAGGAGTCCAGCATGTGGTTGGGATCAGGTTCTGGTGGTAGAACAGTAATGGGGACTTCATCTTCTGTTTAGTGGCCGCTGTTATGCTCATTGGAGGCCTTGCTGTCCTGAGTCCTGGCTGCCTAGTGGGGACTGTCCCTGCAGGCAGTTTGTGTTTATACTGGCATTGCTGTGGGTTCCTGAGCTAATGCCTAGTTGGTCTGGAAGGCCCCTGCCTCAGGCAGCTCTGCATCTGTTCTCTCCCCATTTGGGGGCTTTGTAGAGCCTTGCTGGGTACCCTCCTGAGTCCTCAGTGCATGGATGGGCAAGGCAAGGAAGGCCTCTTGGTAAACAGGGTGCCATGGTTCTGGGGCCCAGCCCAACTGTGCCCCTATCTGGTTCTGCTGTCACCTAAGACCCTCTTCAGATCCTGTCTGGGGTCCCCTCCCCTAGAATTCCTTAGGGCAATGTGAGGGCCCCTCTTCAGAGCCTTCCCCCATTCAAGCCAGCCCCCTCAGCACAAGTCCTTTCTTGTCTAGGACTTCAGCGGCATCCACATTTGGAGGTCGAGTAATGGTAAAAAGCAGCCTCATTGCTGTAAGGTCTTGTCGGCTTGCGTTCAGAGTCAGTTGAAGTAGCGCACTAGGTGTGGGATGCAGACTGCTCCTAGGTTATAACTGCGACCTCCGCAGAAGCATGTAGATGAGGAGGGAGGACACGTATGGCAGCACTCATGCAGGTTGGAGAAGGTTTCCATTGAGGGCAGGGCAAGCACTGCTTACTTGGGGTATAGCCACCCCTGTAGATGAAGGCCAGAGAATGAAGGGCTCACTGGCTATGCAGGGCAAGACTTCTGTCCTTGTAGCAGGTCCCCCTCCAGAAGCAAGTCTGGCACAGGGGTGTCAAGCTGATTTTCACCAGGGGCCACATCAGCCTCGAGATTGCCTTCAAAAGGCTGAATGTAGTTTTAAGACTGTATAAACTTTACTCCTCAACTAAGGGCAAGGAGCTTGGTGCTGCCACCGGTTAGAAAAAAGGTGCCAGGCCAGATAAAACAAAGTGGAGGGCCAGATTGGGCCTGAGGGCCTTGTGTTTGCCACCTGTGGTCTGGCAGGATGTTCTTGGAAGACTGGAAGAACACCCATGGTCCTTGGGCTTGTCCTCCTCAGAGCCTCTCCCACCAGCAGCAGGCAGGGGCCCCAGGTGCAGGCCGGGTGCCCAAGATAGTCCTGGGTCACCCTGAGTTGTCCCAGTCCATGGTGGGGTCCGAGGTAGCCCTGGAGTAGGTGGTTGCTGCTTAGAAGGTACAAAGGTGTATAACATGTTGTTATGTGCCATGACTATATGTTAGTCCATAATTCACCATAGAGTCTTTTTAAAAATGTGCTTAAAGGTAACCCTCATTTACCCAGAAATCTCTCTCTCTGAAGATGTGGAATTTTGGGGCAGTGTCACTATAGGGCCTTCAGCCTCCATGGGGACCTTGTCTTGGAGGTAACCCTGAGTTGGCAAGTGTGATTTGTCTGTCATTGGGGCCTCTGCTTACTGTGGTCCTGGCAGGGCCAGGCTGGTGGGCACATGATGGACAGTAGGCACTCAGTAGTGGCCCCAGGGAGCATCCTTGACTGCCCAGCAAGGAGAAAGCAGATCAGCTCAGAGGCCTGTGGGCGGGGTTCTAGACTTACTTCTCAGTTAAGCCAGTGCCTCTCAAGTTTTTCCAAGTTCAGGTGCCTGGGAGAATGGCAATCCCACAAAGAGCATTATGGGTTGGGGGCTCACAGAGGGACTGGCACAGAGCCCTGGGGCTCACTGCTTCTAGAAAGGTTCCTGGACTGGTTTTTACAGAGCCTTTCTCACTCAGTGGGTGAGGCCACCTTGGGTCTCAAGGACCTCCCAGGGACGGGGTTTTCCTCCCGGCAGCTCTAGTCATGACAACCACAGAGGGTTGTCAGGCCCAGAAAAGACATTCTGCTCTTGCCTCCAGGAACTGGAAGGCTAAGGAAGAAGGTGGGGAGGCGAGTGAGGGGGGGTGGTGCCCCCAGCCTTGCTGCTCTGCCTTTGGGAATGAGCCCCCTGGGCTCCTCTGCATTTTCCTGGCCCTGTTCCCACCTCCAGGCTGTCAGGGGTGGGTTACACCTGTGGCCCCGCTTTCTCTGGCTTCCTATACAGACGGGGCACTCTGTTCCTCTGGACACCTACTAAGTAGCAGGAGACAGCAGGTAGCTGATTAGGAGACCGCACTCCCTGTTTTAGGAGAGCATAGCACAGTGGACAGGACAGCTGCTCCGCTGTACTCCCTCTGAAGCAGGAGGTCCAGCTCTGCTGGCCTCAGTGCACCTTATGGCTTGTGCCCTCACCTGGTGGACTGTGGTGGGAACATCCGGTGCTTCTGAGTCCCAGGCCTGAGTTTCCCTGTCTCATAGGGTCACAATGGTATCTGGCTCATGGGCAGTGACAACTGCTTGGGAGGGACAGGTATTCAAGATCTCCGGCGAGAATGGTAGCCTGGACATGAGTCCGGTGGGTACTTACCAGTATGCCAGTAGTCTCATTAAGAAGCCAAAAGCAACCGGGGAAAGTCATCTTAATACATTTTATTTAACTTGATATGTTTAAACATGTAATGGGTAAGAGAGAGCTTATTCTTTCTTGCGTGTGTATTTTACACTGAGAGCTCATCAGTATTTGGACATTAAATTTTCATTGGAAATGCTTGGTTTTAAGAAATACACAGATTTGAATAGAAAATGGTGTCCTTAGGACCAGCAGGTCCTGCTGTTAGGTCTGTCAGCCCTGCTATGGGCTGTGCACTCCCCGAACAGGCCTTAGCCCCAGGGCGCCAGGTGCCAGGAGCAGAGCAGCTTCCTAGAGGTGTGGCCAGATAT